GGGTACGACATAGATGCGGTAAAGAGGTCAATCGAACTCGACCAAAACAATGGAATTGCCATGGAAACGCATTGGGGAAAGGGCTGTGGGTGAACAATCCCGAGTCGCCCCACAGCAAAATTAGCCTGCGTTTAGGCTATGGTTTATATACGTATTTCACATGATGTTGAGTAAAAAATCAGAGTATAATGCTTGTATGGATGTCAACCCCAACACATGTTCATGTCATCATTACCAATCAACTTCATTACAGTTAAAAACAACTTTGACTACCATCAACAATTTATATATGCTAGCTATGCTAACCAGCTTAGACGAATAGGAGTTAGCATTTAGCAGTCACTTCTTCTAAACCTGAAAAGGGACAACTTCTACAAATTATGCAGCGAAAACAGCCAAATATATCAAAATTGTGGTAAGCACTTTGTGGGTCTGTTACAATACATACATCATGATGGATTTGAGGAATATCCACTTTGTTAGATCACATTTGTTGAATGCATGCCAATCTGGTCAATGTAACGTCTGCGTTCCATTGACTCCTTTACTGCATCTATGCGACTGAATTTTTGCATGTAAGGAGGTCACTAGGCATGAAGCACTGGGCATCTTGTTGTTTTGAAATGCATTATCTGAATTAGGCCCACAGAAGTATACCCCTACGGAAGAGCATTTTCTATGAAGGAACTTTGAATGTCTTTGAACTTCAGAGAGTTGGCTTAACTAACGTTGGACCCGAAGCAAGCTCTTGATCATGACTCTTAGTTCCATTACATTACACATAATGCCGCCCAGAGTTTTCGAGACCTAGACCAGAGCTAGCTAATAAGCTAGCTAGCTAACTAAGAAGCTTGTGTGTGCAGAGCGGCACCAGAATATAAATAAAAACATGTCTTACCTTTTCGTAGTTAATAAATCTAACGTGAAACGTGATAACAATAGTATTCACACACAGGGGGTATGAAAAAAATAATGTATGCACTAACTAACTGTAAGTCGCTCTGGATAAGAGCGTCTGCTAAATGACTAAAATGTAAATGTAAATGTATTCTTAACTAGCATTGAAAAAGTTAATCCATTGTTCTCTAATAAAAAATCTCTCTCCCTAGTTTTTTTTAATCATGCCTGTAATGTCAGTAGCTACAGTAGACTATGCATGCTTCGGAGGGATGGGAGGGGCAGGTAACCTACACACACACACTGGCAAAGATGTTCAGCTGGCAGGCAGGCAGACACTGGAATACGTTTCTGAGTGACAGTGAGGGCTTTGCAATAATCACTTTATTGCGTTTTTGTGGGACTGGAGAAAAAAAATGCCTGGAACGTAAAATCATGTTAATAACTGGTTCCCATGCTTTTAAAATAACGGTTCTGTTACAGAACAGTATAGATCACTGTCGTTCTCGGTTCTGGTTCTGTTCCTCAAATAATTTCATTATTTCCCGGTTTTCTGTTCTGTTCTCTGAACCGGTTCCAACCCGTTTTCTACTAACCCAGTCTGAAAAGTATTAGCCTCGGGATAGCGAGATAGCTTGATTTCCATCCTTGCTGTCAAGCCACAGATGACATTTTGGGCATCTGTGCTCTCACCATTCATTACTCCTGAGATGGATGCCCATCACATGTCAGAGAGCCCTTGTCCTATGAGAGGAAAGGCTCCACACACTGCCTTCAGTGCCCTTAAAGTGGTTTTCATCATTAGGACAACATTTGGAGCATTAGGTCAACAGTAGGAAAGCAGGCTGGCATTGGGGGCTCCTCAGCCCAGTCCACATCTCTCACCAGGGTCACCACTGGTTCAGGGTATGTCTTTGCTGGTTTCTCTCCACCCCTTGTAGAGTGGCATCAGGTGGGGTCTAGAAACAGCTGTAGAGCTGATTGGTTGCCCTGTCTTAATTGATGAGTAGTGGTTGAGCTATCCACCAGAGATTCTCTGAAGGAGCATAACAGTATTGGGAGGAAAATAAGTTTACCTCAAGTGAAAATATTTGTGTTGATGGGGGAGTGTATTGTGCAAACACCAGAATCCCAAGCCCAGCACTTGGCCAACTACTGTACACAGAGAGCGCACCTTCGTCAGACCCTGGACATATAGCTATAGCAGGCAGTTACTGCAAACACTTTCTCTTGTGTCATGCAGGAAATGTCATTACATTGTCCGAGGGTGGAGTGCAGGTCAGAACAGAGAAAAGGTTCCTGCTCTGGTGTCATGGTAAAACTAAACTGGACAATTTGGCTTGCAGCATCCATATTGCATAAAGAGGAAATTACATAATACAAATATTCACACACACAAAAAAGACATTGAGAAATATTCAAATTCCTTTGGCCCAAAAAAGGAAGCAACATTTCTTGCGGTTGTTTCTTAATTGCTATCAAACCAGTTTCTAGAGGACACATACTCCTGTGTCCCGTGTAGCTCAGTTGGTAGAGCATGGCATTTGCAACACCAGGGTTGTGGGTTCGATTCCCACGGGGGGCCAGTATAAAAAATACATTAAAAACACTATGGATAAGAGTGTCTGTTAAATGTGATACTGTAGGCCTATTCCACAGAATAATTATATTTTTCCTGGTCCATTCTGTCTTAGAAAGGAGTGACTGGCCCAGAGTGACCTATGGAGGTGAGAAAGCCGCCACTTTCAGGGCTAATATCAGAGCAGGTTTGTGAATAGAATGTTGTCAAATGGCACCTCACGCCAGGTGATGTGAAGGGAATTGAGTTTGAAGATTGGACGGGGCAGCTGGAATACCGCATGCTTCCAAGTGCAGCTAATAAAAGACAGCGCCGCCGTGGACAGATGGGGCACTATGCTGCTGTCACTGGAGCTTTGCTGATCGTGCACCTTAGTATCGTCACTGAGAAGTGCAGTCTTTACATTGGCATTTCATTGCTCTCCTGCAGCTCCATTTTCACACCCCTGATCACACTCCTTAACCCATCCCCTGGCCAATTTACTATGAAATAAGATGAAGGTCCCTGCCTTCTGCCCTGTCGCCAGGACAGTATAGGCATTCACCCAAGGGGAAAAAGGTCGTAACACATATGAGATCCTTATCAGGCAGTAGGCCTAGAAAGGCCTATGTGTTCGAGGTTATGACATAAACAGAAATAAACTGTTCTTAGAATGTCCTTTGTGGTTAAACAATACTTTGTATGCAGTCCAGTGCATTGATTAATGGATTGCACCAGTGCTTTGCATTGATAAACAAAGCAGTAGCCTAACACTGTACCAGTGTCATTACAGAAGTATTATTTTTTACAATGCAATGTTTGCACGTTTGCTTCTTCCCTCTCTGTAAAATATTAACTAGCAAATGAAAATGTATAAATATATACAGGTAACTGACAAAATAATGGAAACACTTGAGCAAATGAGGAATAGGTGTGAAGGGAATTGAGTTTGAAGCGACGCGATTTGGGAGCGACACCTGAGACATCAATTTCCACCAACATCAACACAATTATGGAATTTATTGTGGAAGAATGGTGTCGCATCCCACCAATAGAGTTCCAGACACTTGTAGAATCTATGCCAAGGTGCATTGAAGCTGTTCTGGCTCGTGGAGGCCCAACGCCCTATTAAGACACTTTATGTTGGTGTTTTGTTTATTTTGGCAGTTACCTGTACATATATATATATATATATATATATATATATATATATATATATATATTGACTATTTAATGTTATATTTAAAAGTGGTTTCTTTGTTTGTGGAGATTTTTCTAGGGCTATTTGCAATGACTCAATGACCATATGGCACAAAATGACAAAATCATAAATTTTCATGTCTCTGTTGCAGATAAACTTTTTCATTTCAAAGCCCGATAGTAGCATTAATATAGTCAACCATGACAATGTATAGCCAAACAAACCATAACTCAGAGAGACAGAGAGAGAGCAGGAGAGGAGAGAGATAGAGAGAGATCGAGATGAGGATCGAGAGAGCTGAGAGCAGAGATGAGAATGAGAGAGAGAGAGCGAGGAGAGAGAGACAGAGAGGAGGGCGGTTCGAGAGATAGAGAGAGGAGAGAGAGATGTCTTCTTCTCTCTCTCTCTCTCTCTATGTACTGCGGGGATTACAGAATGGCTTTTCCATGATGTACGCGCGGAAAAGATGCTCAGAGGATTGTTAAATGGATGTCTTTTATCTCGAGTTTCCCACATCCTGCAACCAACTAAAAACGAGGCCAGGGCCCGGAGGGAATTTGAAAGAATGCAAGGTATGCGTAAAGCTTACTTATACATGATGCGCTTCACCAATAAAAGCCACCCATTTGAAAGAATGCATGTAGCTATAACTAGCGGTTACGAGTACTATTGTTCGCGAATTCAAATAAAATACTATAGGTTAGTTCTCACCTCGAATAGGCAATAAACTGCATCGTCCTGATGTGAAAATAATAGGCTTTAGTATATTGTGGGGTTAAAACAATAGACCCAAATTATTAAAAATGAACTGATACAGAATGGGCTACATTACATCCCTGCGACAGTAGACATATTTGCAACACAACATTTATGAAGCATTTTTGTCAAGTTAGACCAAAAAAATCTACAGAAATCTCGCAGCATAGCATTGCATTAGGTAACATTATATTCCATAAAATTATGTTCTAATAAAACTACGTTGCATTAAAGACTGAATCATGCAACATAAGAACTCAGTAACAGTAACCCTCCGTACATTCACGTGCAGACTGCATCTCGCATGCAAGGAGAGGGGGAAGTTGGCCCAAGTAGATCTTGAATTTGCATTTCCTTTCTGAAGTGCAGTAAAAAGAATGTGGCTTATTTTGCCGCGTTTTAATTCCCGCCACGTCTAGTCTAGCCGGTTAGGCTGGTCTTTTCTTTTAATTATGTGATTGACGTGTGTTTGGATAGTCTATAATAATTACCATTGGTGGAGAATGAGTGGTGGGCGGAGAAAAGAGTGACGATCGAACTTGTGGCTACTCCCATTTACTATAGATATATATTTGTCCTTCCCCTGCCCGTACTCAAATTCAAGGAGCCGGTTTCTTAGCGACGTAACGCATTAGGAGCTGGTTTTCTTTTAATTTGATTTACTGTTTACAAGTAATTGTTGAGTTTGTCAATAGTCCTATTTTATCATTGGGCTAGTCGTTATTTCCACTCACTGGATACGGAAGCATTTATGTTCAAGGATCAAATACGAGTCTTCACGAGATCCGGATGAGAGAGGATTCCTGACGCATTTTTTCCTAGCTACGACAACGTGGATCACACGCCCGATAGTGGAACTGGATCCCACGACGTAATATTTGTAGAATAAATCACCAATTTCGTGGATTACAGGAATGCTGCTGTCGAAATTAAACTCATTCGCTCATATCTCCACCGTTGATATGCCGGCGAAAATCCAGCTTCAAATGCACCAAGGTTAGATTAAGCTTTTGTTGTTCGTTATAGCTAGCAAGCTACTATAGCTAGCTGGGCTCGCAATAACATTACTGTATTTTAAATACTCGTTTTCCCATTCTGCTATTTCGATGTTTTGCATTCACCCATGTCACATTACACTAGGTGGAAGCGTTGTATTAACCGTATATTTTTGAAAATGTACAGGGAAGGAGAGGGAGCCATTTGATAAGGTTTACCAGGTCGGCGCTGTGCTGGGAAGTGGTGGTTTTGGCACAGTGTATTCTGGCACGAGAATTTCAGATGGAGCACTGGTTAGTATTTTTTCCTAACGCATTCGCTGAAAAATATTTAACGTTATACATCCAAATCGGCTAATCGATGCATTTTTGCATGTTTTATCATGTAATTTCAAGTTAGATTATTTTTTTCACACACAGGTTGCTGTCAAACATGTGGCCAAGGATCGGGTCTCGGACTGGGGAGAGTTGGTAAGGATGCTTTTGGTTGTGCATTTTAGCTAGTTTAACCAAAGTGATAGTTGTTAATCATATGTTGTACTATTGTCTGCAGAAATTTAACATATTTATATTTTATTTTCAGCCCAATGGCTCTCGTGTCCCTATGGAGATTCTACTCTTGAAGAAAGTTGGAAATGGAGCTCGGGGGGTGATAAAGATGCTGGACTGGTATGAGCGACCTGACAGTTTTATAATTGTCATGGAACGACCAGAGAACGTCAAGGACCTCTTTGATTTCATCACTGAGAAGGGAGCCTTGCCAGAGGAGCTGGCAAAGAACTTTTTCCGTCAGGTTCTTGAAGCCGTGCGACACTGCCACAACTGTGGGGTTGTACACAGGGACATCAAGGACGAAAATATCCTAATCGATCTTGGGACGGGCGAAATTAATCTTATTGACTTTGGATCCGGGGCATTGCTCAAAGACACTGTTTACACCGACTTCGACGGTAAGCATACCAGTTGATAGACTTTAACCGTAGCCCATTTTAGTGGTTTAACTGAATGTATTGATTTGAGCGCCACCCTTTGGAGGAAAAGCATATTTTTACAACCTAAAGTTTGTAAACATTGTCACGTCAGGCTCTCCTCACACACATCTACTGTCATGGTCTCTGGCGCCTGACCCCAATAGGAGGCGCAGCTATTGTTTATAATCTTTTAATCCATAATATCACAATTTATGAAATTATTTCCCAATCTTATTTTTATTTATTTATTATACATGTCCATTTTGAAAGGTTTGTTGACATGTATTCATAGAAATAGAACACATCATTGAATCTAACTATCATTCGTATTCTTTATATCCACAGGCACTAGAGTGTACAGTCCACCAGAATGGATCAAATACCATCGGTACCATGGGCGGTCAGCCACAGTTTGGTCTCTGGGTGTCCTGCTGTATGACATGGTGTGTGGAGATATCCCCTTCGAGCAGGACGAGGAGATTGTACGAGGCCAGGTGCTCTTCAGACGAAGAATCTCCACAGGTGAGCCCAAATAACTTAAACAAAACCTCAAACTTAATCAACTAAACCAGTGGAATATTACTAATGTATTAGTCATTGTGTATCCAGTCTTAAGAACTGACTGACCGTTATCCCCATTCTTCTTCCAGAGTGCCAGCAGTTGATCAAGTTGTGCCTGTCCCTGAGACCCGCTGAGAGGCCGTCGTTTGAGGACATCATCAATCACCCGTGGATGCAGAGCACAGTGTCCTCTGCTGAGCAGAGCAACAAGATCAGACTGCACAGCATCAGCCCTGAGCCTACCGCCTTCACCACCGTGCTGGCCCAGTGACTACATCGCTGCACTGACAGAGACTAGTGTTACACTCAGAGGACTGACGTGGCTGTACTCTGAAACACAACATATACTAGACAGAAGGAAGTTACAGATTCATTTAGTTAAATCTCTCCCTCTTTCTCTTGTGGCCAGACCCCACCTGTTCAGTCAGGTTTTGGACTTCATGAAAACCAAAGTCCTTAATGGCTACTTAATTGGACACTGTAATAGCGAAAGCTATTCTCACCCCTACGAAGGACTTGCTCTATAATATTGGCTGTGGAGTCCATCCCTACCCATGTGATTGTTCTGCTGAAGGCATGAACAAGTGGACAGACTTTGTTACATAGCTAGCTACCAACCAGCTACTGTACTCTGCCCTCGCTCACTGATGAGTGGGTGTCAGAGGAAGCAAAGAGGAGCAAATCTAAGCGCCTTTGGTGTGAGTCAGATTGTTGGGACCCTGGAAATACTTGAATTTCATAAAGCCAACATACTACTTCTTATAAAAAATTAAATAATACTTTACAAGGCTTTATTTCCTATCTCGTAGGACTCGATCAGTAAAGCCTATGCCATATTCCAATGTCAACAGCAACAGGACAACCTCATATGGTGCACACAGACGTGTGCAAACAAGAACCTGAAAACTTACCTCACTTTCCTGCATCCACCTCTGAGCTTTTAACTCCTGTCTACACAACTAGCACTCATCCATACCTGAATGCACACTGAAATGCAAAGCACCACACTGAAATACTAAATGTTCTGCTCTTTTGTTTATGTGTAAACAAGTATCTGAGTCTTTCGCCTAACAGGCGTAGCATTGACGCCATTGTGAGTAATATTTATATTGTGTGGTTTTTCTTTCACTTGAGCTACGTGGAATTATTTATTTATTTAAAGAGATTTTCGGCTGTATATTTCATTCCACAGTTATTGAAGGGCCCACAGATTATTTAAACGTATTTTCACCATATTTATGGTTTGAAATCTTCTGAGCAGACACATGTGTGTATATGTATATAACCTTCAAAGCACTTCCATTTTAATGTAACATTGAACGTCTACTGATAAGGGTTTTTGTTACTGTATTTGTCTGCTGTGGATTTGGATGAAATGACTGGCATACGTACAGCAACTTGTTTTCACCTCTAGTTGCATGATTGCGGCTTGTTTAGTTTTTTCATCCAAATGAGAATTGTACATTTTCAATAAATATTTTTATACATTTTCAATAAATATTTTTTTTACCTTGCCGTTTGTCTCGCTGGTTTTACTTCAAGATACCAGGCTCATGATAGAAAGGTTATGTCAAGTCCAAACACACGCTAGAGAATAGCTTTAAACCTCAATCATATTTCACATTTGTATTAGATTGACATGAATGAATAGCAAGATACGTTTTTTTTAAATATATTTTTTTAGTCGTTTAGCAGACACTCTTATCCAGAGCGACTTACAGTTAGTGCATACATTTTTTTCTTTCCCCTCCATACTGGCCCCTCGTGGGAATCGAACCCACAACCCTGGCGTTGCAAACGCCATGCTCTACCAACTGCGCTACACAGGACTTACCTCACAAGTTGCCACCACTGCTCCACCAAGCGCTTGCTCAAGAGTTCACATAGCTCAACTCTCTTTCATGTGTAAGCAGAAGGGGGGGGGGGGGGTAGACTATTACCATATGTCAAAGTTGACAGGGAGACATGGTCCAGATTGCATTGCAGTCCGTTGGTAAGAGCAGCTAATAAACGTTGATTATGTTCTTATAGGTTTATCTAGAAAGCAGGGTACGTTTAATAAAAGGTGATTACACCGCAGGGGTCCTGGCCTCAGTCCGTAAATCTATTGTCAGAACCTTCCTCTCATCTCAGAAGGCAAAGTAGCTGGTATTATAAAGTTATAGCAGTCCACAGCTGTAGTGTTTGTACAACAATAGAGACAACATAAAGGTAGATCATTTTGTCACATTTTGGCTATGTTTGTTTAGTATGTATACAAATACAAATAGCCAGCCTTGCACTCATCTTACTTCCTTGAGCAGAGATGGCTCAGCATGTGGTCCTCTTCCCAGCTGCCCTGTGCTCTCCCCAGGCGCATCTTGGCCAACCTGCCCCCTCCTCTCTCGCCAGGACACACACCCGCAATGGGGGTCATGTTCCCCAAGCCTCTGTAATCCTCCGGCTATCTTTGCTCACTATACCTGATTGGCTTTATATATGGCTCAGCATGTGTCCAGAGCCCATAGAGTAGACCTGTATGACCATGTGGGCAGGGTATTACTGTAAATGCTCACTGTGCTGTGACTGGGTATTACTGGAACACTGTACTGTGACTGGGTATCACTGGAACACTGTACTGTGACTGGATATTACTGGAACACTGTACTGTGACTGGGTATTACTGTAACACTGTACTGTGACTGGGTATTACTGGAACACTGTACTGTGGCTGGATATTACTGGAACACTGTACTGTGACTGGGTATTACTGGAACACTGTACTGTGACTGGGTATTACTGTAACACTGTACTGTGACTGGATATTACTGTAACACTGTACTGTGACTGGGTACTACTGGAACACTGTACTGTGGCTGGATATTACTGTAACACTGTACTGTGGCTGGGTATTACTGTAACACTGTACTGTGACTGGGTATTACTGTAACACTGTACTGTGACTGGATATTACTGGAACACTGTACTGTGGCTGGGTATTACTGGAACACTGTACTGTGGCTGGATATTACTGGAACACTGTACTGTGACTGGATATTACTGGAACACTGTACTGTGGCTGGATATTACTGTAACACTGTACTGTGACTGGGTATTACTGGAACAATGTACTGTGACTGGGTATTACTGGAACACTGTACTGTGACTGGGTATTACTGGAACACTGTACTGTGACTGGGTATTACTGGAACACTGTACTGTGACTGGGTATTACTGTAACACTGTACTGTGACTGGATATTACTGGAACACTGTACTGTGACTGGGTATTACTGTAACACTGTACTGTGACTGGGTATTACTGGAACACTGTACTGTGACTGGGTATTACTGGAACACTGTACTGTGACTGGGTATTACTGTAAATGCACACTGTACTGTGTCTTCTAAGCCATTGCACTTATGGAACATTGGTTATACATACCACTGACATATTTCTCAACCCCAGTCTAATCATATCTCTGTATATTTCTCTGCCATGAAACCTTTCATCTTGCCACAATTTTTGTGCTGCTATCTGCCTTGTGTTTTTGATAGGACAGTCAATGAAGTAGCGTTCTCATTCCCTGAACTGAGGAAGGGAAAAACATGCAAACCTGTTTTACAATGAGTCAAATAAGGCTGTTGTATTTGCATGGATGGAGCGTCAATGACTCATTCTCTTCTCAGCTATGGAGCTCCTTGGAATGGGGACAATCTGCATTTTGAATTGAGTTATCGCAATAGCAGGACAACTGTTTGAAAATAAAAATTAAATGATCTCAGCTTGATCATTTGTCTAGGTATACTGTGTTCATTTGCAATACAAACTTTTCCAAAATATGTTTCCTCAATTCATTTATCATTGTACCATATTCATCAGTGGTGGCTGGTGGGAGGAGCTGTAGGAGGACGGGTTCATTGTAATGGCTGGAAACATGAATGTATGCTGTCCAAAACTTTAATTTTCTCATGTCTTGGACAGAGGTCAGTGTGATCCGTCTCCCCCTGAATAGCTACCAGGGAGTGATCCTGGTCCTCATCAAAAACATTGCCCGTGTGTGGCCTGGCTCTCAGAGTACAGATAGTTAATGGATTATCACTGGCAGATAGATACCCTCTGCTATACATCTGCTCTCAAGAAAACATTCAAAACCCTGTTTCCCACCATAAGCTTTTATTTGGCTCACCTCTCATGCTTTATTCTTTGTGAAAGTTAGATATAATCAACTACACTGCAGTGTTTTTGGCTGAACTTGTTCCAGTCATTGCAGTTGAAGTTGTTCTCACATTTTTTGTGAATGAGTCAGACACACTAATAAGAGGGTGGACAGCTATCCACCGGAGCACTTTCACATCTGTGACATATCCCACGATTGGCCATCCAGCCACCCTCCTACTGTAACAAGCCAGCACATGAGAGAGCTGCCTGAGAGGAAGGCTGGCTGTAGTGTGGGAGATGACTGAGTCAATGTTTAACTGCAGGATGCCTCAGGGGTTTCCAAGACAAGAATGAAATGTCTTAGGATAACCCTGACTCCTTGGGGCTGGTGCTACCCATCAGGGAGTGCTGCATTCCTGCTGCCTGACTCACAGACCCACACATTGTATTGGCCAGATAGGCCATTAAGGAAAAAGGTCAGCTTGCTCTCTAAAGCAAACAGGTCGACGTGGAGCGCAGGGCAGATGGGAGGGCGCGTTGACTAGACCACAACCAGATTCCTGTCCTCTGAGGCAGAGGAAGGGAACACAAAGATCAATAGTCTGACCGCCAACTGTCAACATGTGCACCCCTGTGACTCCACCATTTTTAAATAACATTGTTTACAGACGAGGATATGATATTGAGGGGTTGTCTTGTCTTTGTAGCTCTTAAATGTACTATTGACCTGGAAAACTCACTGAGAGAGTTGTCTGAGATTTGCATGATAGTAAACTCCTAAGCTGTAGACGTACATGAAGTTTATAACACATCAGCGAAACACTATATTGAACTCTAGTATAGCAGGCCTTGTTCAAAGGTAGGCCTACACTCAGAAACAAATTGGGACGTCAAATCCAACGTTACTGTGCTACAATTGTTTAGAAGGCATTCTACCGCACTATTCTCTCTTCTTCTCTCTCTGTTCAAATACTTTATTATAGTCATCCTCATTACCACCCCCATGCATTCCCATCAACCCCTCCCTCTAGTTTCCCGTAAACTAGGTCTTCACTCACTTCCTCATTCCTGAGAGACTAGTAAAAGACATGCTGATGTGTCAATACTTGCTTCTGCTGGTTGTTGTTCATTTTGAGGCTTTAATCCTGAATGAGCCTGCAATTCTAAGGCTTTGGCTATAAACAATCTTGAGGACATAGTCATTTCACAGCCAAGCTAATATGTACTTTGTCTTACAATTGCATGGCTATTTATGATAAGTACCGTGTATGCAAATTATTTCACTGGGCACAAGTCTTTTATCAGTCACAGTGGAAATGGAAGTTGGGGATAGGTAAGTTCAATTTTACAGTAATGAAGAACTGAAAAGTTGAAAAACAGGAATTAAACCTTGACTCGTGTGGCTCTAACACTTTTCTTCCTCTGAGGCTATAGCCTACAGTCCGTGCTATCCAGAATCCTTAGGACATCCCTACCCCAATGAAATAAAAGTGGTTAAGGGTTAAGGTTAGGGTTAGGTAAGGGTTATGGTTAGGATTAGGGTAAGGGTAGGGGTTAAGGTTAGAGTTAGGGTTTAGGGTAGGGACGTCCCAAGGATCCCAGATAGCACAGACCTATAGCTTACGGAACAACAATACTTGTTCAGCCGGATAGTGTGTGTAGTGTAATGGGCCTGATGGGTTACTGTCTGTCTGCTACATGCATGTCATTCTCCTTCCAGGCAGCCAGCCGCTCCAGTCGTTAGCCAGGATGTTATCACACTGTGATGACTGTGCAAAGGGAGCGAAGCACGCTGGCAGCTGCTTGTGATGGCAATGGACAGCAGCCACTGGACTTGGATGAGGAGCTTGGACACCAGGTGGTGAAGGTCATCCCAGAGGTGAGTTGGAGCATGGGGCCTTCACAGCACTACACCACCCTGGCGTTCCCTGTGCCCTACATCAAGACCCAGCTGCAGAGCAGACAGAGGTAACCTGGACCTGAGAGACCAGGCCTTTGACGCCCTCCTTACAGACCCCTTTGAGCCTGTTGGGGTCATCGTTGGAGAGTATCTCTCCCTCCCCTCCATCTTCATCCAAAATGGCCTCCCATGTGATGTAGACTTTGTGGACAGCCAGTGCCCATTCCTCACCATTGCCTCAGACTTCCTACAGAGGGAGATGACTGTTCCACAGATAATGAGCAAGGCAGTGATTTGGCTCATGCGCTCTGATTTCACCACTGAGGTACCCAGACCACTGATGCCCAATATGGTCATGATTGGAGGAATGAATTGTGAGGAGCCTAAGCCACTACCATTGGAACTGGAGGAGTTTGTGAATTATTCTGGAGAGGATGGCATCAATGTCTCTACTCTGGGCTCCCTGGTGTCGCAGGATGCCAGCTGAGAAAGCCAAACAGTTCCCTGATGCTTTCCGGTAGGTTCCTCAACGGGTTGTGTGGAGATACACTGAAACTGTGCATGAAAACTCTCCAGAGAATGTCAAGGTGATGAGCTGGCTCCCCCAGAACAATCTGTTGGGCCATCCCAGCGTCAAGGCCTTCAACACATATTGCGGGATACATGGGATCTACCAGGGGATCTGCAACAGTGTACCCATGCTGATGCTGCCCCTGTTTGCTGACCAGGTTGACAACGTGCAGTGCATGGCAGCAGGAGGCGTGGGAAAAGACCTCAGTATTAATGATGTGACCTTAGACAAAGTGCTGGAGGCCCTCAACAAGGTAATCAAATATAAAATGTACAAAGGGAAGATGATTAAGCTTTCGGCTGTACGTAAGGACCATCCTGTTGAACCCCTTGACCTGGCAGTCTTCTAGACTGAGTTTGTCATGAGGCACAAAGGAGAAGGTATCTGCAAAATCACGTCGTTGTCAGATTTACCGAAAGGAGGACGGAACACAGCCTTATACCTGTGTCTAAAAGACGTGGAGCAGTGGTCAAGCGTGCAATTTACACGAGTGGGACAGTCAATGTGTTGGTAATAATTCGGGAGGACGGACCTCAAATTACCTTTATCGTTTTCAAGATATAGGATTTTCATAAGCAAAGTGTCATGGTGATATGGCAAGTTACACTTTGCTTCTTGAAAGTCCAATATCTGCAAAACGTGACTGCTGACATGCAAAACATTTTGGGACTATATCAACAGTGGTCTAATGATAAAAAATACCAAAAGATAGTTTTTGCGTGGAGTTTTCCTTTAACGTTGATTTAGGCTATATGTTTTAGTAGGCATACAGACAATATCATTGCGATAAAATCTATTGCAATATCTTCATCTGAGGCCAGCGGCCCATGAGTTGAACTGGATTCAGTGCCACTTCCTGGATGTCTTCACCCTGCTCATCATCTTAGTTATAACTGTTGTCATGGTGACGGTTAAACGCTGCAGATTCTGTTTCCACCAGTGTTGCATGAATAGGACATTGAAGTAGAAGAATTAGTAAATATGTAGCCTACTAGGGTTTTCTGAAGAATGAGTAAATGTACTGTAGCCTACTAGGATTTTCTGAAGAAGAAGAAGAAGAAGAAGAAGAAGAAGAAGAAGAAGAAGAAGAAGAAGAAGAAGAAGAAGAAGAAGAAGAATTAGTAAATGTAGGTTATTTCTCCAGGGTGTGAAAATAGACTAGCGTCTAGAGCATAGGTTGGTTAAAGTGGCAATCTGCAGTTGCTACATCCATTTTTGGACTTAATTAAATAAATAAATAAATGATATGTACTCGTTGATTCTTGAAGAATGACTTGTGAATGCCTTTAGCTTAGTTCAACTGTCATACCCCATCAGAACCCAAAATATGAGCTTGTTTTACTCCACTCTTTGTAAACAAAGTAAATGTGAACAAGCACAATATAGCCTCAGAACATGGTTAAAACTATAATGTTGATATTATGGATGGCCAGTCCACAGCTCTGCCTATGAATTTGAGAGTGGCTACATTTCTCCAGCCCCATCCCTCAGCATTTTTACCAAAACAGTGGCGGGGAGGTATATATTTTTTATTATGTCAACTGCTGATTGCCGCTGCAAAGGAAAGTAATGCTTAACAGAGATTTGCCCAAAAAAGCACTTTACTTTCAAAAGAGGGTGTTGAATAAAAAAATGATTGATTCATAGTAAACACATATGAGTTGACCATGTTTATTTTTACAGTCTATGGACAAAGGGAGTGAGCGGCTGTAGGGGGTGCAGCAGGGAACTGAGTCAGGCAGGCAGGGAAGCTACTCCCAGTCCTGTCCCAGTGCTGCTGTCCCTCCCTGTCCTCCCATGCAGAGCCAGAGCACTGTGACCCACTTCCACCCTGTCATGACCCACTTCCTGTTGTTCCTTCCTGACCTGGCGCTTCCATCTGCAGTCTCTGCCACTTTCTGCCATAGTGCCACTGCTAACTGGGCCACTTGTGTAACCAGCTTGTTATCTCCAATAGTTAGCTTTGAGTCCGTGATCAGAGCTGAAGGCTAATCCATTAGTCATTCTCTCAAGCATTTTCCTCATTCTGCCCTTGCCAATCACTTGCCTGGGAATGTTAGCAAGCTGGCAAGGAGTCATTCATGGAGAAAATAGGTGAAATTCTTTGTCAGCTTTTGGAACAGTCATGCGGAGCCATTTCTGAGAATGGAAATGTATGACAAAAAATTGCCTGCTTAGTGATCACTGAAACAAAAAAATAATACATATCCTGACCCCTAGAGCAACCTTTTGCCGGGAACAAACACAGTTATTTTTCGACAAAATCCTGCTGCTGCAGTCCAGGAAGTAAAGGCACTTGCATTTCCCGTCTGAGAGTGGCTGGTGCTGACATCAAGCCCTGTGAGAGTGACCTGTGTGTCTGTCTGTTTGATGACCCGCCTCCTGGAATGTGTGGCACCGGGAGATCAATAACAAAGAGCTCTGATCTGATGGCAGCAGGATAAAACACACAGGCAGAGTAGACAACAGCACTGCCGGGGGACAAGGAGAGCAAGTTGTGGGTGTTTGTTCATTCAGGACAGCCAATCTGGACCCCTTGTCTCTTTGTTTTCTTCTTTGGAGAGTGGTACCACAGTTGGGGTCAATTTGAATTGAAGGCACTCAATTCAGGAAGTGTTTTTAATTTTAAATTCTAAAATAGGAAAACTTTTGAAAGAAATAGCTTCTACTTGTCAGTTTATTGAGAAGTCATTGAAAATAGTTAGCCTTTTTTCCATTTTTGGAATTGAAATGTAAGTTTGCTTCCTTAATTGAATGCCTTTGATTCAAATTGACCCCGACCCTGGTTGGTAGATCATGAACAGACAATGGAATGGCTATACAGAAGAACAGACGACTTTATCAGGATCAGTATTGAGATTATACAGGAGTAATTTGATGGTTGACACAGCAGACTTTTCAACTATGACCAGCAGTTGCATTGCATATCTGAAGTGTATTTGATATGTTTTCAAAAACGATCCATTCATTGATAGTCATCACACAGTATGATCACTGATCGACCTGTTCAAAAAATAAAATGTCAAAAAGGTTTTTAGAATGATTTATGAAAAACCAGTCTCTCTCATCGGGGCCTTTTGCAAAGACAACAGCTTATCCTTTACTCTCACCTGGTGTTCAAACTAAAGAACTGCAATTTTTTACAACATTATACGGTTCTCCATGTTTGCTTATGAGGAATAGTGCATTGACACAGGCAGCCCAATTCTGATAATTTGGCCAATAATTGGGCAAAAGTTCTGATTTGAGCTGCCTGTATTAATGCATGTGTATTGTGATATATTTGATTCCAAATCAATGACCCCTGTATGAACTCAGCCTAATTCTACATTAGACTTGGTTGATCGTTGCCAATCATTTCAATAAACTGTGAAGAAATCAAAACCAACAAAATGTGAAAAAATAAGTGCTAATGAAACCGATTCATTCTACTTTTCTCGCGCTGTCTGATTCCTGCATTTTTTTGTCTGTCGGTAAAAATAGGCCATTCGTTTTATGTGAACAATTTAATATAAAAGAGACATGACAATACAAATACGTCATACATACATGATGATGGGCATACAGTGCATTCGGAAAGTATTCAGACCCCTTGACTTTTTCCACATTTTGTTACGTTACAGCCTTATTATAAAATTGATATTTTTTAAATCCTCACAATACCCCATAATGACGAAGTGAAAACAGGTTTTTAGAAAATGTTTGCAAATCTATTAAAAATATATAAAACAAATACCAGTCAAAAGTTTGGACACACCTTTTTAAAACTATTTTTTACATTGTACAATAATAGTGAAGACATCAAAACTATGAAATAACACATATGGAATCATGTAGTAACCCAAAAAATATTTGAGATTCTTCAAATAGCCACCCTTTGCCTTCATGACAGCTTTGCACACTCTTGGGGGGGTATACAGAAGATAGCCCTATTTGGGAAAAAAAGACTGAGCCCATAATATGGCAAGAACAGCTCAAATAAGCAAAGAGAAACAAAAGTCCATCATTACTTTAAGACATGAAGGTCAGTCAATACAGAACATTTCAAGAACTTTGAACATTTCTTCAAGTGCAGTCTCAAAAACCATCAAGCGCTATGATGAAACTGGCTCTCATGAGGACCGCCACAGGAATGGAAGACCCAGAGTTACCTCTGCTGCGGAGGATAAGTTCATTACAGTTATCAGCCTCAGATATTGCAGCCCAAATAAATGCTTCACAGAGTTCAAGTAACAGACACATCACAACATCAGCTGTCCAGAGGAGACTGTGTGAATCAGGCCTTCATGGTCGAATTGCTGCAAAGAAACCACTACTAAAGGACACCAATAATAAGAAGAGACTTGCTTGGGCCAAGAAACACGAGCAATGGACATTAGACCGGTGGAAATTTGTCCTTTGGTCTGGAGTGCAAATTTGAGATAATTGTTCCAACCGCTGTGTCTTTGTGAGACGCGGTGTGGGTGAACGGATGATCTCCGCATGTGTAGTTCCCACCGTAAAGCATGGAGGAGGAGGTTCAATCTCAAATATAAAACACTTTTTTGGTTACTACATATTCCGTATGAGTTATTTCATAGTTTTGATGTCTTCACTATTATTCTACAATGTAGAAAATAGTAAAAATAAAGAAAAACCCTGGAATAAGTAGGTGTGTCGAAACTTTTGCCTGGTACTGTAAGTATTCAGACCCTTTGCTATGAGACTCAAAATTGAGCTCAGGTGCATTCCTGCTTGCATTGATCATCCTTGATATGTTTCTACAACTTGATTGGAGTCCACCTGTGGTAAATTCAATTGATTGGACATGATTTGGAAAGGCACACACCTGTCTATATAAGGTCCCACAGTTGATAGTGCATATCAGAGCAAAAACCAAGCCATGTGGTCGAAGGAATTGTGTTGAGGCACAGATCTGGGGAAGGGTACCAAAACATTTCTGCAGCATTGAAGGTCCCCAAGAAAACAGTGGCCATTCTTAAATGGAAGATGTTTGGAACCACCAAGACTCTTCCTAGTGCTGGCCGCCCAGCCAAACTGAGCAATCGGGGGAGGGCCTTCCTCTGATACCGCCTGGTATAGAGGTCCTGGATGGCAGGAAGCTTGGCCCCAGTGATGTACTGGGACGTACGCACTACCCTCTGTAGTGCCTTGCGGTCGGAGGCCGAGCAGTTGCCATACTAGGCAGTGATGCAACCAGTCAGGATGCTCTCGATGGTGCAGCTGTATAACTTTTTGAGGATCTGAGGACCCATGCCAAATCTTTTCAGTCTCCTTAGGGGGAATAGGCTATGTCGTGCCCTCTTCATGACTGTCTTGGTGTGTTTGGACCATGATAGTTTGTTGGTGATGTGGACACCAAGGAACTTGAAGCTCTCAAGCTGCTCCACTACAGCCCCGTCGATGAGAATGGGGGCGTGCCCAGTCCTCTTTTTTTCCTGTAGTCCACAATCATCTCCTTTGTCTTGGTCACGTTGAAGGAGAGGTTGTTATCCTGGCACCACACGGCCAGGTCTCTGACCTCCTCCCTATAGGCTGTCTCATCGTTGTGGGTGATCAGGCCTACCACTGTTGTGTTGTCGGCAAACTTAATGATAGTGTTGGAGTCGTGCATGGCCATGCAGTCATGGCTGAACAGGGAGTACAGGAGGGGACTGAGCACGCACCCCTGAGGGGCCCTGTGTTGAGGATCAGCATGGCAGATGTGTTGTTACCTACCCTTACCACCTGGGGGCAGCCCGTCAGGAAGTCCAGGATCCAGTTACAGAGGGAGGTGTTTAGTCCCAGGGTCCTTAGCTTAGTGATGAGCTTTGAGGGCACTATGGTGTTGAACGCTGAGCTGTAGTGCAACGGTACCCCCCTGTATATATAGCCTCCCTACTGTCACTTTATTTTACTGTATATATAGCCTCCCTACTGTCACTTTATTTTACTTCTGCTCTTTTTTTCTCAACACTTTTTTGTTGTTGTTTTATTCTTACTTTTTTGTTTAAAATAAATGCACTGTTGGTTAAGGGCTGTAAGTAAGCATTTCACTGTAATGTCTGCACCTGTTGTATTCGGCGCATGTGACCAATAAAATTTGATTTGATTTGATTTGAGTCAATGAATAGCATTCTCACGTAGGTGTTCCTTTTGTCCAGGTGGGAAAGGGCAGTGTGGAGTGCAATAGAGATTGCATCATCTGTGGATCTGTTGGGGCAGTATGCAATGTGGAATGGGTCTAGGGTCTCTGGGATAATGGTGTTGATGTGAGCCATGACCAGCCTTTCAAAGCATTTCATGGCTACAGACATGAGTGCTACGGGTCAGTAGTCATTTAGGCAGGTTACCTTAGTGTTCTTGGGCACATGGACTATGGTGGTCTGCTTGAAACATGTTGGTATTACAGACTCAGTCAGGGACAGGTTGAAAATGTCAGTGAAGACACTTGCCAGTTGGTCAGCGCATGCTCGGAGTACACGTCCTGGTAATCCGTCTGGCCCTGCGGCCTTGTGAATGTTGGCCTGTTTAAAGGTCTCATTCACATCGGCTACAGAGAGCGTGATCACACAGTCGTCCGGAACAGCTGATGTTCTCATGCATGCTTCAGTGTTGCTTGCCTCGAAGCAAGCATATAAATAATGTAGCTTGTCTGGTAGGCTCGTGTCACTGGGCAGCTCGTGGCTGTGCTTCCATTTGTAGTCTGTAATAGTTTGCAAGTCCTGCCACATCCGACAAGCATCGGAGCCGGTGTAGTACGATTCAATCTTAGTCCTGTATTGACTCTTTGCCTATTTGATGGTTCGTCGGAGGGCATTTCTTATAAGCGTCCGGGTTAGAGCCCCGCTCCTTGAAAGCGGCAGCTCTACCCTTTAGCTCAGTGCGGATGTTGCCTGTAATCCATGGCTTCTGGTTGGGGTATGTATGTACGGTCACTGTGGGGACGACGTCATTGATGCACTTATTGATGAAGCCAGTGACTGATGTTGTGTACTCCTCAATGCCATCTGAAGAATCCCAGAACATATTCCAGTCTGTGCTAGCGAAACAGTCCTGTAGCTTAGCATCTGCATCATCTGACCACTTCTTTATTGACCGAGTCACTGGTGCTTCCTGCTTTAGTTTTTGCTTGTAAGCAGGAATCAGGAGGATATAATTATGGTCAGATTTGCCAAATGGAGGGCGAGGGAGAGCTTTGCATGCGTCTCTGTGTGTGGAGTAAAGGTGGTCTAGAGTTTTTTTTCCTCAGGTTGCACATTTAACATGCTGGTAGAAATGAGGTAAAACAGATTTAAGTTTCCCTGCATTAAAGTCCCCGGCCACTAGGAGCGCTGCCTCTGGATGAGCGTTTTCCTGTTTGCTTATGGCCTTATACAGCTCATTGAGTGCGGTCTTAGTGACAGCATCGGTTTGTGGTGGTAAATAGACAGCTACGAAAAATAGAGATGAAAACTCTCTTGGTAAATAGTGTGGTCTACAGCTTATCATGAGATACTCTACCTCAGGCGAGCAAAACCTCGAGACTTCCTTTATATTAGATTTTGTGCACCAGCTGTTGTTCACAAATATACACAGACTGCCACCCCTTGTCTTACCGGAGGCAGCTGTTCTATCTTGCCGATGCAGCGTAGATCCCGCCAGCTGTATGTTATCCATGTCGTAGTTCAGCCACGACTCGGTGAAACATAAGATATTACAGTTTTTTATGTCCTGTTGGTAGGATATCCGTGATTGTAGTTTGTCAATTTTGTTATCCAATGATTGTACGTTGGCTAATAGGCAGATTACCCACTCGCCATCGGATCCTTAGAAGGCACCCTGACCTACGTCCCCGATATCTGCGTCTCTTTCTCATGCGAATGACAGGGATTTGGGCCTTGTCGGGTGTCTGAAGAAAATCCTTCGCGTCCCGACTCGTTAAAGAAAAAATCTTTGTCCAGTACGAGGTGAGTAATCACTGTCCTGATATCCAGAAGCTCTTTTCAGTCATAAGAGACGGTGGCAGAAACATTATTTACAACCACAGGTGAAGTAAAATGACAGGATGTTACCATCTAACCGGTTCTGTGTCGTTCTGTGGCATGTACCCATAGCGGAAATATAAAATAGCAACATCTCTTCAATCTCTGCAGAGAGAATGAGAAACAACAAGAGATATGAAAAGAGAGTTTGACAAATAAGCTTCATGTCATAGCTACTTGCTATTTAAATGAACATTTATATGAAACAGTGGAGGCTGCTGAGGGGAGGACGGCTTATAATAATGGCTGGAATGGAGTCAATGGAATGGTATCAAACACTTCAAATAAGTGGTTTCCATCTGGTTGATACCATTCCATTGACTCCATTCCAGACATTATTATAAGCAGTCCTCCCCTCAGCAGCCTCCATTGATATGAACATTTGTTATTTGCTTCATGTCAGTAACATTTGTCAGTAACATTTGTTAGAAAACAAACACAATCCATTTGGTCCCAAAAAAGAACTATAGAACGTACACAAATAGCCTCTTGTTTTCATCAAGGAATCCACATCTTCAAACCGTCTTTGCATAACAGGAATATTTCTGCATAAAGGAAAACATGTTGCTGTCAATATGTGAACACTCATGACTTCATTGTGCCAGAACTGATGACGATTCACTTGACTAATAAGCACCAAGGAATACAACCGAACTTACTTGTTCCATAGATGTTCTCAATATATCTATGGCCAAAGATGCTTCTTTGGAACTCTTCAACCAGAATCATGACAACTGCCCTGCAGTGAGTGAGAGTTAGATAATTAGCCTTGCCAGTTGGAGTTTGAATCATTCAAAGTGATATGAAAACATTATGACACTCACTTCTCTGAGCCGTAGAGGTCCCAGGCCTTAGCTAAGCCTTTTGCCAGACCTGCAGGAGGGTTGTTGTATAGGATACGCTTGCTTTCTTCCAACTGACCAGCCCTCTTCAGGACGTTCCTAATGATTAAATAATAACGGCCTAATTTAGAAAAAAAATTCACAGGGGACATTTAAAGGGATAATTTGATAACTAGTTATGTGAATGTACTGGTGGACGTCTGGTGTGCGTGCAAAAACAATGGTGCTGATCTCTATCTGCTTCAAGGGGGCTCCCATCCCCAGTCTGGTCCAGCGATTCAGACCCAAAACTAAGGAATGGAAAGTTGCATGAGAAAATGTATCACCAATATTTTTTGTGTGAAAGAGAGCAATACCCAACCTGAACATCCTGGCAGTGAAATCATCCACTGTGACACTGCTGTGAAGATAGGAGCACATCCTTACATTGTGCAGAGATCAAGCCCCTTAGTAATCTACAGATTTCAATTTGACTTTAATGTACTAGAATCTTTGGTTTACATTAACCAACTACTTGGTCATACAGCCCTGTCTGTATTACCTGGCTTGAGTCCTGGCTCATCTTGTCCATCAGTCGGTTGTAGTGTGTTTTAAATGCTGGAGCCTGGTGGTAGGGTCTAACCATCTAATACTAGAAGATTCCATAGTCACACCATACATCAAGTAATACAGTGTTATAAGCACGTTTTGTATAGCATTGAGGGGTGGATGAGGACTCATTTCAGTGACAGTAGAACCTTCTAGTAGTCTTTTACCCCCAAATATATGTTTTTAAATGAAAGTTACTAGCTATAGCGTTCAGTCATTGGTCAATGCAGTCGCTGGAGATCTCTAATATATACTGGTTTATGCATAAGCATGGTCAATAATCTACTATGTACAGTGGGGAAAAAAAGTATTTAGTCAGCCACCAATTGTGCAAGTTCTCCCACTTAAAAAGATGAGAGAGGCCTGTAATTTTCATCATAGGTACACGTCAACTATGACAGACAAAATAAGAAAAAAAAATCCAGAAAATCACACTGTAGGATTTTTTATGAATTTATTTGCAAATTATGGTGGAAAATAAGTATTTGGTCACCTACAAACAAGCAAGATTTCTGGCTCTCACAGACCTGTAACTTCTTCTTTAAGAGGCTCCTCTGTCCTCCACTTGTTACCTGTATTAATAGCACCTGTTTGAACTTGTTATCAGTATAAAAGACACCTGTCCACAACCTCAAACAGTCACACTCCAAACTCCACTATGGCCAAGACCAAAGAGCTGTCAAAGGACACCAGAAACAAAATTGTAGACCTGCACCAGGCTGGGAAGACTGAATCTGCAATAGGTGAGCAGCTTGATTTGAAGAAATCAACTGTGGGAGCAATTATTAGGAAATGGAAGACATACAAGTCCACTGATAATCTCCCTCGATCTGGGGCTCCACGCAAGATCTCACCCCGTGGGGTCAAAATGATCACAAGAACGGTGAGCAAAAATCCCAGAACCACACAGGGGGACCTAGTGAATGACCTGCAGAGAGCTGGGACCAAAGTAACAAAGCCTACCATCAGTAACACACTACGCCGCCAGGGACTCAAATCCTGCAGTACCAGACGTGTCCCCCTGCTTAAGCCAGTACATGTCCAGGCCCGTCTGAAGTTTGCTAGAGTGCATTTGGATGATCCAGAAGAGGATTGGGAGAATGTCATATGGTCAGATGAAACCAAAATAGAACTTTTTGGTAAAAACTCAACTCATCATGTTTGGAGGACAAAGAATGCTGAGTTGCATCCAAAGAACACCATACCTACTGTGAAGCATGGGGGTGTAAACATCATGCTTTGGGGCTGTTTTTCTGCAAAGGGACCAGGACGACTGATCCGTGTAAAGGAAAGAATGAATGGGGCCATGTATCGTGAGATTTTGAGTGAAAACCTCCTTCCATCAGCAAGGGCATTGAAGATGAAACGTGGCTGGGTCTTTCAGCATGACAATGATCCCAAACACACTGCCCGGGCAACAAAGGAGTGGCTTCGTAAGAAGCATTTCAAGGTCCTGGAGTGGCCTAGCCAGTCTCCAGATCTCAACCCCATAGAAAATCTTTGAGGGAGTTGAAAGTCCGTGTTGCCCAGCGACAGCCCCAAAACATCACTGCTCTAGAGGAGATCTGCATGGAGGAATGGGCCAAAATAGTGTGTGAAAACCTTGTGAAGACTTACAGAAAACGTTTGACCTGTGTCATTGCCAACAAAGGGTATATAACAAAGTATTGAGAAACTTTTGTTATTGACCAAATACTTATTTTCCACCATAATTTGCAAATAAATTCATAAAAAATCCTACAATGTGATTTTCTGGATTTTTTTTCTTATTTTGTCTATCATAGTTGACGTGTACCTATGATGTACCTGTGAGCTGAATAATAGACAGGTTTACCTTGGATGAGTTGGGGGTCTCTCTAGTCCGTATCAAGACATGTAGAAGGGCATAGTCTTTAATGTATTCTACTAAATTCTTTATAAGTTCAGTGTTGTCACGACTTCCGCCGAGGCTGCTTCCCCTCCTTGTTCGGGCAGGTTTCGGCGTTCGGCGGCTTACTAGCTACTGCCGATCCATTTATCATCATTCCATTTGTCTTGTCTTCAATCACACACACCTGGTCCTTATTCCCTCATTAGTCATGGTATAAGTGTTCCCTCTGCTTCCTTGTCTGTGTGGGTGATTGTTTATTGTGGAGGTTAGTGAAGCTCGGTGGAGCTCGTGTATTGTGTATCGACAGGAGTATTTTCCCGTGTACCTTGTATTTTCCAGTACGCCTGTTTTGTGCCCTGGAGTGTGTTTGACGCATTTCTGCGTAATCCTGTATTTTGCGGATTAAAGCCTGTTATTCTGTGATTTACCCTCCTGCGCCTGACTCCTTCAACACCACCTCATCACAAGTGTTCATCAACACCTCCTCTGGAACCCCACTGTGACTGGTAGCCATTGCAGTTCACCTGTGTTCAAGTTGTCAAAGTTCAAGAAAAACGCGTGCTCTTTCACATAAACGTTTAGGGCCAGTTTCCAGGACCCAGAATAAGCCTATTCAGTGTAAATGCTGCCTTTATTATAATAAATGAATGTATAATGTATGATAACGCAGATATCGGTGCCTGCACTGCAAGAAGGCCCGGTTCAGCAGGAGCTTGAATAAACGTTCTCTGCTGTCTTCATTGTCTCACTTCATATACAAGAGATGGAACTTTAAACGTCAATGTGTGGGTGTTGGTTAGTTGGCATGGTTGTCTGTGTAACAAGTGTACAAGCCTGTGAAAAATAATTTCCCTCGGAGGAGAATTCTATTCTAGAGTATTATCATTGACACTTGCTCTTGTTTTAAGTATCCCTTCTTGAACTAATATGTGTAGCGTGTGATTTGGACGGAGTCAAGCGCAGGAGGTGTGAATCACAGAATAATGGTTTATTTGGTTAATACAGCATTTCGCAGCAATGCGTAAAACAACTACAGTGCGACTTAACGGCGCACTGGGGAAAAAACAAAACACACGGGTGAATATCCCGGCGTTAAAGTATATATAGACACCTCGACATGGAAACAATCACACACAAAGACATGGGGGGCAGAGATAATACGTATACAGGGACTGATGAGGGGATATGAACCAGGTGTGTGCAAAAAACAAGGCAAAACAAATGGAATAATGAGAAGAGGAGCGGCAGTGGCTAGAAGGCCGGTGACGACGAACGCCGAAGCCTTCCCGAACAAGGACAGGAGGCAGCTTTGGAGGAAGTCGTGACAATATGAACATTTTCTTTAAAGGGGAAATCTGCTTTTCAAACAATAGCAACACTGTTTTGGTAAAAATCTCACGGGGGTTGGGGCTAAAGAAATGTAACCACTCTCAATGCATAGACAGAGCTATGTGTGCAAGGACTGACAATCCATGATATACAAATTATAGTTTTAATCATGTTTTGGTGCTATACAGTTTTCTTACAATTACATTGTTTACAAACAATGGAGTAAAACAAGCTTATATTTCTGGTTCTGAAGCGACAGTTGAACTAAGCTCATGAGGCTTTTATAAGTTATATACTTCAAGAATCAATGGGTATACACTGAGTGTACAAAACATTAAGAACACCTGCTCTTTCCATGACATAGACTGACCAGGTGAATCTATGATCCCTTATTAAATCCACTTCAATCAGTGAAGATGAAGGGGAGGAGACAGGTTAAAGAAGGATTTTTAAGCCTTGAGACAATTGAGACATGGATTATGTGTGTGCCATTCAGAGGGTGAATGGTTAAGACAAAATATTTATGTGCCTTTAAACGGGGTATGGTAGTAGGTGCCAGGCGCACCGGTTTGCGTCAAGAACTGCAAACGCTGCTGGATTTTTCACACTCAACAGTTTCCCGTGTGTATCAAGAATGGTTCACCACCCAAAGGAGATCTAGCCAACTTGACACAACTGTAGGAGGCATTGGAGTCAACATGGGCCAGAATCCCTGTAGAATGCTTTCAACACCATGTAGAGTCCTTGCCCCGACGATTTTAGGCTGTTCTGAGGGCAAAAATGAGGGTGCAACTCAAGGTTAGGAAGGTGTTCTTAATTTTTTGTACACTGTGTATATCATGTTTAATTTTACAGTCTAAAAATAGATTTACCGATCACAGATTGCACCTTTAAAAAATATGTTCTATGAAAAAACATCTTTAGAGATTTAATTTAAAAAACAAAAATTGACGTTAGCTTATAGGCAACACATGAAAATCAACCCTTCTCACCAAAAGTGAAGATATTCTCTTAAAGGTCCAATGCAGACGTTTTTATCTCAATATCAAATAATTTCTAGGTAACAATTAAGTACCTTACTTTGATTGTTTTAAACTAAAATGGTCCAAAATGAACAAAAATAACGAAGGGCAATTTCTCAAGCAATACTTTTTTTAGGACTGTCTGGGAGTGGTCTGTGTGGGGAGGGGAAAACAGAAAATGAGCCGTTATTGGCAGAGAGGTTTGGAACGTTTTCTTATTGGTCTATTAACTAATTTACCGCATGGTGATGTCACCGTTTGATCTGAAAATAATCATAGTTCTGTACATTAATTTCTTGTCGCTGTTTAAGTCTACCGAGCAGTGATACAAATGTACTGGGGCAATAAGACTTCAGTGTCCGTACACAGCTTTCCTCCCTCCATCAGGCTCCTGATCTAAAGAAGCTATAAGAGCACACATTTGATTCTACAGTAAAAAAACAAGTAAAACTATCAAAGAAAAAAATCAACAATAGGAGAGCAGCAGTTTTCTCAGTGGTCAAAGAAGGACACTTGTGTGTTTAACTTTTCTTATTACAGTTCCACTAGTAATGTGACAGAGGGCAGTGTAAGTCAGACGAGGAGTGGGTTGTCTAGCACTGCCACTCCAGCAGCCACGCCTCCATCAGAGTGTTCATCACTCTTGGTCCTCAGTAGATGTCCAGCACATTCATTCAGCACCATGTCTTGCCCCTGCCTGTGTGGATGCAGAAATCATAAAACGAGGACACACACAACCATTCAGATAGGAGACAAAGGTCATCTTCATTCATCTGCATGAGTACATTGTGATCACCACAACTTCACTTAACAGAAAAATGTATACTACCTCAGACTACTGTATACTTCATTTCAACTCAATTTAGAGATACTATTTATGTGAAGTTGTCAAGAAAGGAATGTATACAGATGGGTCTGTGACTGTACCTGACGTGGGCCCCAAATAGGCCCAGCTCGCTTAGACAGGTGCTGAGTTTGAGTGGCATCCTCTGCCTCAGGAGGTAGTTGTGTACAGGGCTGGGCTGAACCTCGTCCATCGGGATACAGGCCATCCTCTCAGTGCTCTGCTTCACTGCCTCCAGTACCTGACAGATCTCGGCTCCAGAGATGTTGTTGCCTACAGGATAGGAATTCTACACATCAGCAGACAGGCCAGAGCATGACAAGTTCAGAGGTCAGAGAGATGTGAAGTTAAGAGCTGAGGTCCTCTTACCCCCGCTTTCCCTCTGTGGCTTCAGGACAAACTGGTCTGGTTTTGCCAAAGCCATAACCATAGTCTTGTCACCTTCTGGTCCCTGTTTGTAACATTGAATAAGAAAGTTGAAGCAGAAAAGCAAACTGCTTTTAAAGGCATTGTAAAGAAAGAGGTAATGTGTGTAAACATTGTCGAGTGTCAATGAGCCAGAGCCCTATACTACTAAGTTTGCAAGGTAACTTTGGTCAACTCTGAGTTCAACTCAGGATAACAGGTACCACGCAAGTGGCTCAACTTTTAGCCAGGTACATTTCTATAGAAACTAATCCTTCAGATCAGGGCAGGCTAACTCAGGGCTAACTTCATGTATCCTTAATGAAGTGTCTGAGCCGTGGCATTGCCTCAATGGAGAGTTCGGTGTTTGACTAGCCACGTGCGACATGCATGCTCAGTTACAAGCCTGCTAGAGTTAGCGGCAGGTGGCAAGCAATATCCACCGTTGTAGTACGGATGACGCCTGAGCTGGAATGTGAAGCTAACTGAAGCCGGTTAGCTTTAGAAAACCCTGAGTAGATCTAGCTTGCTTTGTAGTATACCCCTCTGGTTTTCTGGTTCTTACCATATCTAATGTATACAGTCCAGCAAAGGTGGCTCGGATTTGGTCCACAACGTCAGGTTCACCAGGAAAGAACCTCTCCAGAACACCAGGTCTGGCCAGTTCCTGTTGGACCTTCTTGGTGCCGGCCAGGTGTGTGCTGATGTCTGGACACTTCACAGCCAGAGAGCGCTCCATCATGGGGCGAGCCTCCCATTTCTACACAAAATCATACACAATGTCCTGATAAGAAATGATTGCATCAGTTTTGCACATTGACAGCTTTTACAACCCCAGGACTCTGAGAATACATAGAAAAAAATGAAGATGATTGTGTTCAAACCTTTTCTGTGTAGTTCTGTGACATGTATCCATTGTGGAAATATACAATAGTAACCTCCCATCCATCTCTGCAAAAATAATTAATGAAACCAACAATGAGAATGGTATTACATTGAATGTAAGGCAAAAAATGCTTAAACCCAAAAAGGCATCAAGATTATTTTCAACAGAATGTCCTTCATATCAGTAACAGATATTGCAAAATCAAAACATTTATTTTGTGCACGCAAATAACCTAGATAAACTTTTTAAAAATACTTACACTAACAGTCTCTTATCCTGATCAACGAATCCACTCTTACAAACATCTTCAAACTGTCATTGTGTTACAGGAATATTTCTGAACACAATCAGAAATAATTTTATGTTGCGCCATTTTGATATACCAATGGTAGCCAAATACATTGGTCTCCCATGGCTACGAAAGCGGCAGTAGGAGGCACTATCATCAAGCATCATCAACAGGATAAAAATCTAATGGTGTGTCACAATTGATAATGATGTGTTTGACCAAGCACCTAGGCCTTACCTCTTCCATAGCTCATTCTCCACATACAATGGTCGAAGATGTTTCTTTGGTCCTCTTCAACAAGATACAAGACTACCGCCCTTAAATGACAGCGAATGACCCCTACTAAAACCCCACTAGTCGTACTGTATATATCTTGTGTTCTGTTACCGACAAAGACAACCAACAAAGTTAATACTTTTCATAGTGTTATGAATCTGAAACTATCTGTATCTTATTTATTGTACAAACTGACAGATCCCAAATCATGCATTTACACACCTAAATCCTCATGCATTTACACACCTAAACAAACACTCATGAATTTACACACCTAAACCCTCCTGCATTTACACATCTAAACCCTCCTGCATTTACACATCTAAACCCTCATGCATTTACACACCTAAATCCTCATGCATTTACACACCTAAACCCTCATGCATTTACACACCTAAACCCTCATGCATTTACACACCTAAACCCTCATGCATATACTATCTAAATTGACACCCACCTCTCTGAGCCATAGAGGTCCCAGGCTTTAGCTAAGCCCTTTGCCAGACCTGCAGGAGGGTTGTTGTCTAATATAACGTTGCTATCCTCCAACCGACCAGCCACCTTCAGGATGTGTCTATTGATGCAGACATAGACAGGGTCATGGCTTGGTTTTTGCTCTGACATGCACTGTCAACTGTGGGACCTTATATAGACAGGTGTGTGCCTTTCCAAATCATGTCCAATCAATTGAATTTACCACAGGTGGACTCCAATCAAGTTGTAGAAACGTCTCAAGGATGGTCAATGGAAACAGGATGCACCTAAGCTCAATTCCGAGTCTCATAGCAAAGGGTCTGAATACTTATGTAAATAAGGTATTTCAGTTTTTTATTTGTAATAAATGTGCAACTATTTCTAAAAACCTGTTTTCACTTTGTCATTATGGGGTATTGTGTGTAGATTGATGAGGGGAAAAAATAATTTAATCCACTTTAGAATAAGGCTGTAAATAACAAAATGTGGAAAAGGGGAACGGGTCTGAATACTTTACGAATGCACTGTATATGGAAATATGTGGCCAATTACATGCTTCCTAATCATTGTTATGAGAAATAGAGGGACATGTGTGGGAAATTAATTCACAGTTTTGTAGCTGATGAGTTAGCTTTTCGCCAACAAGCTGCTAAGCGTCTGACCAGACTATGTACTGTTGAGTGGAAGCTATGTAGCACTGCAGGCTGTTCAGTGACAGGGGAGCTGGAGCAAATGGCAGCTCAAGTGTTTTTACCAAGACTAGGGAACACTTGTCAGGATTCTTTTGCAACGGTGCTGTCATGCCCATCATAACAACAGCCAAATGACCCAGGTACAGCTCACACAACCTCTTGCAAGGCTTTTCCACATCCGGGACAGCAAAGGACAAGAAGAAAGGAAACCGAATGATGCAATGTTTCAGATCAGTTTTTTTGCAACCACTTCCATGTGCACATGTCTACCACACCATGTCTACCACACCATCATGATGCTAAACTATGATGAAGTCTTTGACATCTGGCTATATTAGTTTGTACTTTCATCATGTTTCCAATGCCCACCTCTTGGTGACCCCATCATGTTTCCCGCCTCTTGGTGACACCATCATGTTTCTAATGCCCGCCTCTTGGTGACCCCATCATGTTTCCAATGCCCACCTCTTGGTGACCACATCATGTTTCCAATGCCCACCTCTTGGTGACCCCATCATGTTTCCCGCCTCTTGGTGACCCCATCATGTTTCCACTGCCCACCTCTTGGTGACCCCATCATGTTTCCAATGCCCACCTCTTCGTGACCCCATCATGTTTCCAATGCCCGCCTCTTGGTGACCCCATCATGTTTCCAATGCCCGCCTCTTGGTGACCCCATCATGTTTCCAATGCCCACCTCTTGGTGACCCCATCATTTTCATTGCCCACCTCTTGGTGAACCCATCATGTTTCCAATGCCAGCCTCTTGGTGACTCCATCATGTTTCCAATGCCCGCCTCTTGGTGACCTCATCATGTTTCCAATGCCAGCCTCTTGGTGACCCCATCATGTTTCCAATGCCCGCCTCTTGGTGACCCCATCATATTTCCAATGCCCGCCTGTCACGAACGTTGAGAGACGGGTCAGACCAAGATGCAGCGTGAAAAGCGTACATGTTTATTTAACTCAATAAAAATAAACAAAACAAGAAACAACGTAACGTGAAGTCCTCAAGCTATACACATACAAGCCTAACACGGAACAAGATCCCACAACTAAAGTAGGCAAACAGGCTACTTAAGTATGATCCCCAATCAGAGACAACGAGCGACAGATGTCTCTGATTGGGAATCACACCCGGCCAAACATAGTCACACAACCTAGAACTGAAACATAAATAGACTAACTAGAACGTAAACATAGAATATATAACATAGAAACTCACGCCCTGACCAAACCAACTAAAGACAACAGGCCTCTCACGGCCAGGGTGTGACACCACCTCTTGGTGACCCTATCATGCCCGCCCCTTGGTGACCCTATCATGCCCGCCCCTTGATGACCCCATCCTAGGCTTGATGCCCAAAACATGACAAAATAAAACTGTGTTGTTCCCAGCGTTTTTGGGGGGTTTAGTGTGTATCCATCTGTGCATGTCACAGTTTTGAATGTATGTGTGCATGTGTTGTGTGCATACATGCACACATGTGTGCGTTGGTGTGTGTGCGTCCATCTGCATTTTATGAGTGTGTGTGTGTGTGTGTGTGTGTGTGTGTGTGTGTGTGTGTGTGTGTGTGTGTGTGTGCACATGCGACAACTGCCCTGATAGACAGGTGCTAGTCTATCTTGTGGGGTCTTGTGTAGGAGCTGAGGAAATGTTATCAAACACTCTCAGCATTCCCTGGTGCTTAAATGTGGAGCCCCACTGGAATGCTGTTTATTGTTAACAGAGATTTCAAATGTAAAGATCGGAGGGAGGCACACTGCCATGGATAGCCACACAGAGCCACTCTGTTTCATGTCTCTTATCCTCACAGTCTATAGGCATGCTCCCTGTGGCCATCGGCAGGATTTAGATAAGATTACACATTTTCTGTTCTTTATGGAACTCTTTATTGAAAGAGATTCGCAGGTGAATGCCCTCCTTGCCTTGTCCGTGAGTTTTGATGGGCGGCCCTCTCTTGGCAGGTTTGTTGTGGTGCCATATTCTTTCAATTTTTTTATAATGGATTTAATGGTGCTCCGTGTGATATTCAAATTTTCAGATATTTTTTTTATAACCCAACCCTGATCTGTACTTCTCCACAACATTGTCCCTGACCTGTTTGGAGAGCTCCTTGGTCTTCGTGGTGCTGCTCCGCTTGCTTGGTGGTGCCCCTTGCTTAGTGGTGTTGCAGACTCTGGGGCCTTTCAGAACAGGTGTACTACAGGACAATAGGCAAGCAGCTTGGTGAGAAGGCAACAACTGTTGGCGCAATTATAAAAAAATGGAAGAAGTTCAAGATGACGGTCAATCACCCTCGGTCTGGGGCTCCATGCAAAATCTCACCTCGTGGGGCATCAATCATCATGAGGAAGGTGAGGGATCAGCCCAGAACTACACGGCAGGACCTGGTCAATGACCTGAAGAGAGCTGGGACCACAGTCTCAAAGAAAACCATTAGTAATACACTACGCCGTCATGGATTAAAATCCTGCAGCGCACGCAAGGTCCCCCTGCTCAAGCCAGCGCATGTCCAGGCCCGTCTGAAGTTTGCCAATGACCATCTGGATGATCCAGAGGAGGAATGGGAGAAGGTCATGTGGTCTGATAAGACAAAAATAGAGCTTTTTGGTCTAAACTCCACTCGCCGTGTTTGGAGGAAGAAGAAGGATGAGTACAACCCCAAGAACACCATCCCAACCGTGAAGCATGGAGGTGGAAACATCATTCTTTGGGGATGCTTTTCTGCAAAGGGGACAGGACGACTGCACCGTATTGAGGGGAGGATGGATGGGGCCATGTATCGTGAGATTTTGGCCAACAACCTCCTTCCATCAGTAAGAGCATTGAAGATGGGTCGTGGCTGGGTCTTCCAGCATGACAACGACCTGAAACACACAGCCAGGGCAACTAAGGAGTGGCTCCGTAAGAAGCATCTCAAGGTCCTGGAGTGGCCTAGCCAGTCTCCAGACCTGAACCCAATAGAACATCTTTGGAGGGAGCTGAAAGTCCATATTGCCCAGCGACAGCCCCGAAACCAGAAGGATCTGGAGAAGGTCTGTATGGAGGAGTGGGCCAAAATCCCTGCTGTAGTGTGTGCAAACCTGGTCAAGACCTACAGGAAACATATGATCTCTGTAATTGCAAACAAAGGTTTCTGTACCAAATATTAAGTTCTGCTTTTCTGATGTATCAAATACTTATGTCATGCAATAAAATGCTATTATACTGAGATCATGTGACACTTAGATTGCACACAGGTGGACTTTATTTAACTAATTATGTGACTTCTGAAGGTAATTGGTTGCACCAGATCTTATTTAGGGGCTTCACAGCAAAGGGGGTGAATACATATGCACACACCACTTTTCCGTTATTCATTTTTTTGAATTTTTTGAAACAAGTAATTTTGTTCATTTCACTATTTTGTGTATGTCCATGACATGAAATCCAAATAAAAATCAGTTTAAATTACAGGTTGTAATGCAACAAAATAGGAAAAACACCAAGAGGGATTAATACATTTGCAAGGGACTGTATATGGACATATCTACCTCAATGACCTTGTACCCCTGCACATCGACTCAGTACTGGTATCCCGTGTATATAGCCAAGTTATCGTTACTCATTGTGTATTTTTTATTACTTTTATTATTACGTGTTTAACTTTTCTATTATTTCTCTATTTTCTTTCTCTCTGCATTCTCAGTGCTAGAGGCGTCACTACAGACCCCCTGGTTCGATTCCAGGCTGTATCACAACCGGCCGTGATTGGGAGTCCCATAGGGCGGCGCACAATTGGCCCAGCGTCGTCCGGGTTTGGCCGGTGTAGGCCGTCATTGTAAATAAAATGTGTTCTTAACTGACTTGCCTAGTTAAATAAAGGTTAAATAAGTAAAAAATAAAAATGGTTGGGAAGGGCCTGTAAGTAAACATTTCACTGTTAGTCCACATCTGTTGTTTAGGAAGCATGTGACGAATAACATTTGATTTGATTTGATTTAGTCACTTTACCCCTACTATATGTACATATCTACCTGAATGACCTCGTACACCTGCACATTGACTCTGTAGTGGTAACCCTCTATATATTTTTTACTTGTTATTCGTTATTCACTGTGTATTTATTCCTTGTGTCACTTTTTCCATTTAAATTTTTTATCTTTAACATTTTTGGAAAAGGACCCATAAGTAAGTATTTCACTGTGAGTCTACACTTGTTTACGAAGCATGTGACAAATACAATTTGATTCGATTCGATTCGGTGGGGTGGGGGAGGCATGCCGCTGTCACAGCATGCTCCAAAATAGAAGGACAGCTGTGGGTGCCCATATCAGCGAGGGAGAGTGGCTGGGTGGGCACTGCCTAATCGTAGTTAGGCCGGCCCCTGGAGCCTTGAGACTAAAGGCATTGGTATCTCTCAAATCAAATCAAATAAATCAAATCATTCAATTTTATTGGTCACATACACGTGTTTAGCAGATGTTATTGCAGGCGTAGTGAAATGCTTGTGTTTCTAGCTCCGACAGTGCAGTAATATCTAACAATTTCACAACATATACTCAATAAACACAAATCTAAGTAAATTAATGGAATTAAGAATATATAAATAAATATATGGACGAGCAATGTCAGAGCGGCATAGACTAAGATACAGTAGAATAGTATAGAATACAGTATATACATATGAGATGAGTAATGCAAGATATATAAACATTATTAAAGTGACTAGTGTTCCATTTATTAAAGTGGCCAGTGATTTATAATCTATGTATGTAGGCAGCAGCCTCTAATGTGCTAGTGATGGCTATTTAAGAGTCTGATGGCCTTGAGATAGAAGCTGCTTTTCAGTCTCTCGGTCCCAGCTTTGATGCACCTGTACTGACCTCGCCTTCTGGATGATAGCGGGGTGAACAGGCAGTGGTTCGGGTGGTTGTTGTCCTTGATGATCTTTTTGGCCTTCCTGTGACATCTACCAGCCTAGCCCAAGCCTAGTTGCGAAAAAAAACTGATTAGCTCATGTTATTGCTGCCTCTGTGGGCTGGGGATGTTGTGGGAGTAGTAGTGACACAGTGGGAGACTAGGACCAGGAAAGTCTGCCCTCTCTGAATATCTGGGTCTCTGCATCGCTGTAGCTGATGACTGATGGGAGTCTGTTGAGGCTGGAAAAGGCTCACTTGCTGTAAAACATTAACAAACAAGTCAAACTAAAACTCAGAAATTGCATCAACATCAGGGCAAAGCCAGGGGAGGCTAGCTAATAGGGGTTCTCTGCACTCAAGCTTCTGCTCATAAATCAAAAACAGACCAGATACAATTACTGTAGGTTGCGTTTTCATTGGCACAAGGAAACGATTCATTAGAAGCTTTAAGTATTAGTGATTTTTCATGTTGCTGCTGTGTGAAAGTGAATGTACTAGGCCCCACTATGGCCTGTTCCCTGTATCAGCACTGTAGCTAAGCAAATAAGTATGTGCTGCATATTGCCTACTAGAGCAACTGCAATCTATGAGCAGAAATACAAAATCCACTTCCTGGCATCTTTCACCAGTTTAGTATTACCAGACATTCACCCTGTTTTTGAAAATGACTGAAAGACAAAGTCAAAGTCAAAACTGACACACTCAGTAAACGTCAAAACTGGCACACTCAGCAAACGTCAAAACTGGCACACTCAGCAAACGTCAAAACTGGCACACACAGCAAACGTCAAAACTGGCACACACAGCAAATGTCAAAACTGACACACACAAAAAAACAGAAAAAAAGTTGATCATGGTAGTATGTTATAAACTTATTATAAAACGATCACTATGGAAATCAAATCTCACAACAGCTTGTTATCTCCCAGACTGCTTTGCTAGTGAAACAGAACATAAGCCAGTCCCCTCATCTGAAGTACTGAACTAGAATAGAGTTGACAGAAGTGGCCTGTATCTAATCAATGTACTTCACCCTGTCTAATTGTGCGTTCAAATAAGACTGACATTTCTCTGTATTGATGGGAACGGCAGGTTAATTTGACTTTATCATCTATTACAATGGAATAATCAATCAACATGTATTTAATGGTTGACCTCCATTTTATTTCTACAGTAGTTTTGTGTTGACTTCACAGCAGCAGCCCCTTACCTCTTTAACTGCAGACTGCGCATCTCTCAGCTCGGAATGTGGGATATTGGGAACAGGAGTTGTATTCTGGTCAATTTGGGGAAGCTGTGCTCTGACCTGTGCACACAATGACATGTATCTCTCCTCTTTTGTTCTCAAGGTGGTGAATGGGCTTATCCACAAAGCTGAAAATCACCCTCTGGCCTAAATAATGCTAACACATTCAAACCCAACTGCCTTTATTTGGAAAGATATCTAATACGCAGTAGCATTACCAGTAGCATTACCTTTGAGCACTCATGGCTGAATATTATGTTCTGTGATTGAGTCATTATTTATTTAGTAGCTTCTGTATGACTTAATTAGTAGTGGAGCAGGAACAGGTCTCCTAGATATTGAAATAGATTCCTTTCTGTCTGGGGGGATGCCCTGTTGGCATTGTTTAAAGTGTTCATAGGTGTACTGTACATGGGCACTGATTGTTAACCACATCCGGACCAATGGGACCATAAAGAAATACTCCCTTCAAAGAGTTTATGTCATTACAACATGTTGTCTCTTTAAACCCTGCTTTCACATTGGAAAAGGTCCAAAACAGTTGATAAAAAAACAAACATATTTTCTGTTTTGGGGGCTTGTATGCACACAGAGATCAGAAGTCTACAGAAGAACCGTTCAATTAGAATTTGTGTAAAACAATTAACACGTTCCTTAAGTGATGATAGGTACATACTCCCACGGGCACAGTTTTCCACCATCTATTTTCACAAGCCTACCGTCCAACATTACAGTCATCCCCCCTTTCATTGACATACAGCCTTGTACATTCCTATTTGAATGTATGCCACTTGAATGTATGCCACTTGTAGTCGGGGGCAATTACTGTAAAGACTTGGTGATGAACTTGAATCTGTAACATGGAACTTGGACAGGCTATATTGTCACAACAGTCATAGCCTGGTCCCAGATCTGTTTGAGCTTTTGCCTACTTCATTGTTATTGCGAAGCCAAACATGTTTTGCGTGACAATTCCATGAGGAGTTGGCGAGGAGAGCAGCAACAGACCGGCAACCAGACCACAACATCAACTTCTGAAGATTATACCAAATGCATTGTGCAGTGCACCAGGGACAAACTCCCTGACCTTCTGCACTTTCAGATTCAAGTTTGTTCCTCCGTACACTATACCCTTGTGTTTCTGATCAAACCAATCAGAATGAAAACATTATGATTTTATGGCATGGGCAGAAATGTAACACCGCTGTTCCATGTGAATTGAGTAACAACTCAATGGCTGTCAAATTGATTTACGGTTTCGTCAGGCACATCCTCTGCACTTTTAAAGGACTATGTGCAGTTTATTAATGACAGAATGAAGTCAAACATTGATTTAACCCTCCCGTTGTCCTAGGGTCAAAATGACCCGCCACTGTGTTTAACCAACTTTATTTAATTTTTATATTTTGGGGATCATTTGTGAGAAGGAGGCAGTGATACTTTATTTAAAGTCTCACTGCCTCCTTCTCACAAATGATCCCAAAAATATAAAAATTAAATAAAGTTGGTTCAACACAGTGGCGGGTCATTTTGACCCTAGGACAACGGGAGGGTTAATCTTCTGTAAAACAATTGAAATATATATTTTTATCTTTCCCCAAATATATATATATATATATTTGGGGAAAGATAAAAATGAAATTGCCTTTTGTGACGCTCCGTGCACAAGGTCCGAGCCAATGGGCTGTTGAGGAAGGGGACACATGGGGATGTCTGACATAGCTCCCCTAACCCTGACCTTGAGGAGGACAATAAAAAGAACACTTTAGCACACCGGTCAAACGTTTACAGTGCGCTCAAAGGTTAGTACACCGGATGCATGCGCGTTCCATTCACTCTACAATTTATGCGTAATTACGCGATTGTGGCAAATTAACGCAACTCTTTACACATTGCATGCGTTGGAGTAACTTGTTGAAGCAGCACACCAAATTTACCATGTTTACAAATTAGTCAATTGATTAGTGAGCGATTAATTGTGTAAATGATCGAACATTAATTTATGACATCAGCTAACCATAATTGTATAACAATAGGCATAGTCACATTTTACAGTTCAAATGAATCTCTGGTAGTTTTGAGCATGTCTTCAACAATGTGTTTCAGTTACTGCGCTTATTCATTGTAGGTGCGCTGGTGCTTGTTCTTCATCCGAAGTTGTCACTAGGTCCAGCTTTAATTAAATTAAAGAGTTCGGGGAGGCAGCCTCGTTCTGTCTCACCAACCTCACCAAGGACCATTATGCTTTTGATGGTACTGTCAGATTCAACACCAGAAACGCAACAATTTTATTTTTAAAATGCCATACATCACTTTCTATGGACTGTATGGAAGCTGACCATGAGAATATCGACAGTTTTGCAAGTTTTCGTGCAACAATTTTGTTGTTTGTTTTTGCCACTCAGTTGTCTTCTAGATGCCCATTCGTTCAAGTAAAATACGAGTGTGGATCCCGGGTGAGAAAGATGATTACATCGAGGTGGAGGTTAAAGAACTGAATGGTGACAAAGCCACTGTGGAGACCAAAGATGGAAGGGTTGGTAGACTATTCTTTGCAGTTGAATACAACATAATGATTTTCATTTGAGCACTTGTCCTGCAGTTAATATCATAATACTCTTATGGCACCCTTGAACACTTGTTGAAACTGACATAATTCAGTTCATAGCTAAATCCAAATAACTTTACTTTGTTCTGAAGTGCACTGTTGTCACACTTGTGACAATAGTTGATTTTTATTTTTTATAGATTTGCAGAATCTATGTGAAATGTTATCACCAAAAGTTTAAAATTCTGTGGCGCAGTAGTGCTTTAAGTCCCTTGAATTAAGAGATATATCATCCCCTGCCTACAGTATGAATTGACTGCATACTTACTCCCTTCTCCCTAAGACTTTGGTTGTGAAGGAGGATGACATACAGCAGAGGAACCCTCTGAAGTATAGACATGATTGAGGACATGGTCACGCTGACCACCCTCAATTAAGCCTCTATGCTCTTCATCCTAACGAGGCGCTACAGTATGTGGATGATCTATGTGAGTCACGGTTCTGTACATCACACCATAGAGGAGCTCTAGGGAGGATAAACGGAGGCCATTCTGAACCAGAGAGACTCTCCCTGTGTCTCTCCCTCTATGTGGGCTATATTTTTGTGTTTCACTATAGTTTACCTTCATTTCACACCCTCTCCTTGTTTATATCTCTCACACAACCAAGTTGTCTCTGTCATTTTATCACATCTCTCTCTCTCTCTCTTTGCAGACCTACTCTGGGTTGTTCTGTGTGATAACCAACCCATATAAGTATCTTCCTGTCTATTCGTCTGAAGTGATCGCTGCCAACAAAGGCAAGAGGCGCAATGAGATCCCGCCCCATATCTACGCCATCGCTGACAACGCCTGCATTGGCATGCTGTCCAGTAAGTCTCAAGCAATACAACCAATTCTATATAAAGATAGAAGCTGTGTCATGTTGGAATTAAGAATCCATGTTCTACATTTAGAATAAATATGTTCACAGTACACAACGCTTAAAAATAGTATGTATGTAATAAGTAAGTAAATGCCCCCCCCCCAAAAAAATGCTGGTAACTCTGGGACATATGTTTTCTCAATAGATCGTGAGAATAAATCCATGCTTATCACGTAAATCACAACTCTACTGTATTCTAACTCTTCCACTAAATAGTCACACACCTGTATTTGTTTTTAAATCACAGATACATTTTGTTTGACATTGTTTTCTACAAATTCTAATGAATTCGAAATAATTGTTGCAATTCACATAAAAGGCAATTCATACTCCCTCCAAAAGCATTTAGATGGCGCTTATAATTGTTTTCATTGACTTCCCACTATGCAAAAACTGGTTGAATTAACATTGTTTCCATGTCATTTCAACCCAAAGAAATCTACAGTGCCTTGCAAAAGTATTCATCCCCCTTGGCGTTTTTCCTATTTTGTTGCATTACAACCTGTAATTTAAATGGATTTTTATTTGGATTTCATGTAATGGATATATACAAAATAGTCCAAATTGGTGAAGTGGAATGAAAAAAATAACTTGTTAAAAAAAATAAGAAGAAATAAGTGGTGCGTGCGTATGTATTCACCCCCTTTGCTATGAAGCCCCTAACTAAGATCTGGTGCAACCAATTACCTTCAGAAGTCACATAAGTAGTTAAATAAAGTCCACCTGAGTGCAATCTAAGTGTCACATGATCTGTCACATGCTCTCAGTATATATACACCTGTTCGAAAGGCCCCAGAGTCTGCAACACCACTAAGCAAGGGGCACCACCAAGCAAGCGGCACCATGAAGACCAAGGGGCTCTCCAAACAGGTCAGGGACAAAGTTGTGGAGAAGTACAGATCAGGGTTGGGTTATAAAAAAATATCTGAAACTTTGAACATCCCACGGAGCACCATTAAATCCATTATAAAAAAACCGAAAGAATATGGCACCACAACAAACCTGCCAAGAGAGGGCCACCCACCAAAACTCACGGACCAGGCAAGGAGGGCATTAATCAGAGAGGCAACAAAGACACCAAAGATAACCCTGAAGGAGCTGCAAAGCTCCACAGCGGAGATTAGAGTATCTGTCCATAGGACCACTTTAAGCCGTACACTCCACAGAGCTGGGCTTTATGGAAGAGTGGCCAGACAAAAGCCATAGCTTAAAGAAAGAAATAAGCAAACATGTTTGGTGTTCACCAAAAGGCATGTGGGAGACTCCCCAAACACATGGAAGAAGGTACTCTGGTCAGATGAGACTAAAATTGAGCTTTTTGGCCATCAAGGAAAACGCTATGTCTGGCGCAAACCCAACACCTCTCATCACCCCGAGAACACCACCATGCTGTGGGGATGTTTTTCATCGGCAGGGACTGGGAAACTGGTCAGAATTGAAGGAATGATGGATGGCGCTAAATACAGGGAAAGTCTTGAGGGAATCTTCCAGAGATTTGAGACTGGGACGCAGGTTCACCTTCCAGCAGGACAATAACCCTAAGCATACTGCTAAAGCAACACTTGAGTGGTTTAAGGGGAAACATTTAAATGTCTTGGAATGGCCTAGTCAAAGCCCAGACCTCAATCCAATTGAGAATCTGTGGTATGACTTAAAGATTGCTGTACACCAGCGGAACCCATCCAACTTGAAGGAGCTGGAGCAGTTTTGCCTTGAAGAATGGGAAAAAATCCCAGTGGCTAGAAGTGCCAAGCTTATAGAGACATACCCCAAGAGACTTGCAGCTGTAATTGCTGCAAAACGTGCACGCTCAAGTTCTGTTTTTTTGTCTTATTTCTTGTTTGTTTCACAATAAAAAATATTTTGCATCTTCAAAGTGGTAGGCATGTTGTGTAAATCAAATGATACAAACCCCCCAAAAAATTCATTTTAATTCCAGGTTGTAAGGCAACAAAATAGGAAAAATGCCAAGGGGGGTGAATACTTTCGCAAGCCACTGTATGTGATGACATTGAATCAATGTGAAAAACTGATTGAATTTGCAAAAAGTCATCAACGTAAGAACATTTAGTATTTTTTTCACCCAACCTTTGACCAGAATCCAATGGCATGGTGACATTTTTTTTTTCTTGTTGAATTCACGTTAGTTGACAACTCAACCAAATGTAAATCAAAAGTAGACGTTGAACTGATGTCTGTGCCCAGTGGGTTCTTATTTTTTTTTTTTTTGGGGGGGGGGGGGTTTCCCTTTCGAAGACCTCTTGTATTACAGTATTTACCGTGCTGTTCATTTCTGTCTCTCTTGTCATACTATGGTACATACATTTTTCATTATAATTATGTAGATTTTTTTCACATTCACTTTTGTCCCAGCGGAGAATCAGGTGCTGGCAAAACAGTCAACACGAAACATGTTATTCAGTATTTTGCCATTCTGCCATTGTAGCAGCCCTGGGTGATGCAGGCAAGAAAGGAGTAAGGCAGCGACCTTCCCAGTTTTGAACAGTCCCCCACCCCTTTTTCATCTTTCATTCCTTTTTTATCTATTTTTTTGACAGGCTTGTTCTATTTTGACTTTGATAACTCCTGGTTGTGTATATTTTACCAATAGGTAGCCTAAAGGTTCCCCCCTGGTTTGCAAACCAAAGAGTTACCGTTGCCATTTTCAAGTTTCAAGTTTTTAATGTCACGTGCGCAAGTACCGTGAAATGCCTCTCTTGCAAGCTCCAAACCCAACAATGCAGTAATCAATATCAATGTTGAATCCCTGATCCTGCAGCCTTCCTTGTCCCAAAACACGCCCACTTTTTGTGATACTTTTATATTCCCTCCTTTTCCCTCTACTCTACCCAGTTACTCTTTTGAACATGTATTTTTATTTGAACATCTTGATACCCGATTTGGGCTTTTGGCTTTAATCCTCCTTCCATTATTCTAATTTGGAAGTCCATTTCTTCCCCTCTGATACATTCTCTCTTCACATGTCAATCAGTTGTGCTTTCCTTAAAATCATGTTGCCAGCCTTACAGCAATTGGCTTCAAGTCACTCATCTTGTACTTCCCCAGGGTACCTTAGATCTTTGCGGCCAACCCAACCATGGAAGCTTTTGGTAATGCCAAAACACTGAGGGATGACAACTCCTGGGGAGTGTCACATCATTGACCACTATATAGATTGGCTCAACATCTCCTCTGAGTAGAATGGATAATGATTAGTATTTGTGTTATGAATCTCTCTCGCTCTCGCTCTCGCTCTCGCTCTCTAACGGCTTTATTGGCATGGGAAATATGGGTTGTATTTACAATGGTGTTTGTTCTTCACTGGTTGCCATTTTCTTGTGGCAACAGGTCACAAAACTTGCTGCTGTGATGGCACACTGTGGTTTTTCACCCAGTAGATAAGGGAGTTTATCAAAATTGGGTTTGTTTTCGAATTCTTTGTGGATCTCTAATCTGAGGGAAATATGTGTCTCTAATATTTTGTGGGCAGTGTGCACATAGCCTGTCTTCTCTTGAGAGCCAAGTCTGCCTACGGTGGCCTATCTCAATAGCAAGGCTATGCTCACTGAGTCTGTACATAGTCAAAGCTTTCCGTAAGTTTGGGTCAGTCACAGTGGTCAGGTATTCTGCCACTGTGTACTCTCTGTTTAGGGCCAAATAGCATTCTAGTTTGCTCTGTTTTTTTGTTAATTCTTTCCAATGTGTCAAGAAATTCTCTTTTTGTTTTCTCATGATTTGGTTGGGTCTAATTGTGGTGTTGTTGTTGTCCTGGGGCTCTGTGGGGTCTGTTTGTGTTGGTGAACCGAGTCCCAGGACCAGCTTACTTAGGGGACACTTCTCCAAGTTCATCTCTCTGTAGGCGATGGCTTTGTTATGGAAGGTTTGGGAATCGCTTCTTTTTAAGTGGTTGTAGAATTTAACGGCTCTTTTCTGTATTTTGATAATTAGCGGGTATCGGCCTAATTCTGCTCTGCATGCATTATTTGGTGTTTTTCCGTTGTACACTGAGGATATTTTTGCAGAATTCTGCATGCAGAGTCTCAATTAGGTGTTTGTCCCATTTTGTGAATTCTTTGTTGGTGAGCAGACCCCAGACCTCACAACCATAAAGGGCAATGGGTTCTATAACTGATTCAAGTATTTTTAGCCAGATCCTAATTGTTATGTCGAAGTTTATGTTCCTTTTGATGGCGTAGAAGGCCCTTCTTGCCTTGTCTCAGATCGTTCACAGCTTTGTGCTGATGTTTAGGCCGAGGTATGTATAGTTTTTTGTGTGCTCTAGGGCAATGGTGTCTAGATGGAATTTGTATTTGTGGTCCTGGCAACTGGACCTTTTTTGGAACACCAAAATCTGTGCAGAAGATCTAGATGCTGCTGTAGGCCCTCCTTGGTTGGTGACAGAAGCACCAGATCATCAGCAAACAGTAGACATTTGACTTCAGATTCTAGTACGGTGAGGCCGGGTGCTGCAGACTGTTCTAGTGCCCTCGCCAATTCGTTGATATATATGTTGAAGAGGGTGGGGCTTAAACTGCGTCCCTGTCTCACCCCATGGCCCTGTGGAAAGAAATGTGTGTGTTTTTGCCAATTTTAACCGCACACTTGTTGTATGTATACATGGATTTTATAATGTCATCTGTTTTTCCCTCAACCCCACTTTCCATCAATTTGTATAGCAGACCCTCATGCCAAATTGAGTCAAAAGCTTTTTTGAAATCAACAAAGCATGAGAAGATTTGTCAATTGTTTGTCAATTAGGGTGTGCAGGGTGAATACGTGGTCTGTTGTACGGACAATTTGACATTTGCTCAGAACATTGTTTTCACTGAGGAAATGAGCTAGTCTGCTGTTAATGATAATACAGAGATTTTTCCCAAGGTTGCTGTTATTGGGGTCAAATTTGTCTCCACTTTTGTGGATTGGGGTGATCAGTCCTTTGGTTCAAATATTGGGGAAGATGCCAGAGCTAAGGATGATATTAAAGAGTTTAAGTATAGCCAATTGGAATTTGTGGTCTGTATATTTGAGGATACCATCAACACCACAGGCCTTTTTGGGTTGGAGGGTTTGTATTTTGTCCTGTAGTTCATTCAATGTAATTGGAGAATCTCTCTCTCTCTCTGTGTGTGTCTCTCGCTCTCTGTGTCTCTGTCTCTGTCTCTGTCTCTGTCTCTCTCTCTCTCTCTCTCTCTCCTCCTCTCTCTCTCTCTCTCTCTCTCTCTCTCTCTCTCTCTCTCTCTCTCTCTCTCTCTCTCTCTCTCTCTCTCTCTCTCTCTCTCTCTCTCTCTCTCTCCTCTCTCTCTCTCTCTCTCTCTCTCCTCTCTCTCTCTCTCTCTCTCTCTCTCTCTCTCTCACCCCTCCTCAGTATGCTATGGACAGTCTGAGCTTCACTCCTGAGGAGAAGTATGGTTGCTATAAAATAGTGGGGTCCATCATGCACTTTGGCAATATGAAGTTCAAGAAGGTTCAGAGAGAGGAGCAAGCAGAGGCTGACGGCACTGAAAGTGAGTCAGTCCCACTTCATGTCTGATTAAACCGTTCTTCATCTGTGTATTGGACATTGTAGGGGTTAAAATCTTCAAGGTAGGCCTACACATTGCCTCTGACCAAACTATGCATTTTATATTGTATTTTTCCTGACTGTTTCAGCTCATTAACCTCTCCTTCCTTCCAACCCCCCTTCTCTCTAGCTCTCCATGCTCCACTCAAATTCTACAACTTTGAGCAGCTGTGCATCACCTTCACCAATTACAACCACCACATGTTCATCCTGGAGCAGGGGGAGTATAAGAGGGAGGGTACTGAGCGGACCTTCATCGACCTTGGCCTGGATCTACAAGCCTGTATCAGCCATTCAAATAAGGAGCTAAAGCAGAAGGACTGGTACATTTTGGTATGAGGAAGGGGTTGTATTTCTGTGTGATATACTCTTGTTTGTTTCCTGCAGTCCATGGGCATACTGTCCATCCTGGAGGAAGAATGCATGTTTCCAAAGGCCACTGATGTCAGCTTTAAGACCAAGCTGTATGATAACCATACGGGCAAGTCTCCCAACTTCCTCAAGCCACGGCCTGACAAGAACCGTAAATACGAGACCCACTTTGAGCTGGTGCACTACGCTGGAGTGGTAAGCGCTCCGGTCTGTTAATTTTAAACATTTGCTCTTTAATTTTAACAGTTAGAACATGTAGTCTTCATGACACTTGATATTAATCAATGTTAAAGGTATGATTTCTCACCATCCCATTCTCTCCCGTCTCCCGTCTCCAGGTGCCGTACAACATCAGTGGGTGGCTGGACAAAAACAGATACCCCCTTAGATGAGACAATAGTCACCTGCTTTCAGGAATCATCTAATAAACTATTAGCATGCCTTTTTGAGAACTTTATCAGTAGTGATGCAGGTATTGACAGTGACACAACTTTACATGTTCACATATTCTAAAGTGAAACTACACTAAATGGGGGAAATTAAAGTCGTGTTTGACTACGGTTGGACTTTTCAGCTGCATGGTTCAAAAGACAAACGGAGGAGGAAGAAAGGGTCCTTCCAGACCATCTCACAGCTTCACAGGGTGTGTAAGAGTGAGGTAGAGACATTACCATAGTGTGTCTATGTGTCTGAATTGGATTGTTTAGTAGAGATCAGAAGGGGAGTATTTAGAGGTGCTCTGTTGTTTTCCTGAGTCACGATGACCTGCCTGAGTTGAGAGGGAAGTAGTTAAGACTTGCAGTGATGTTTAGGTAACTCAACTCGTGAACATCACTTTAAGTCTGTGCTACCTCCACTCTTTCATGCCTCTGAGGAAGAGGATGAGGTAAAACACAACTGGGAAAAGAGCACCCTCACTTCCTTAATGTAATGGTCCCTCAAAACAGATGATGTGGTTTTAGGTGAGGTACAGGATTAGATCAAATGGGATTTATCCTGTCATATTGTTTTAATTGCTGGTTGAATTCTACTTAAATTATATCCGGTTTCTGCTAATCTGCCCATTTGCCTGTCTGCAGGCAAATATGAACAAACTGATGGCCAACCTACAGTATGTAGCACCCAGCCTCACTTTGTGCGTTGTATTATCCACAATGAGTCAGACTCCAGGAATTGGATTATGATGATGAGAAACATATCTGAAGCTTTAATACAACTGACCTCACCTTGCTACCATTGGCTCCATCTCTGATGCTAAGGGTCTCAGTGCTGTAAGATTGACTCTTTCTGTCCTCTTTATCCCAGGAGGCATGGACCCATCCCAGGTCCTCCAGCAGTTGCGGTGTAACGGAGTACAGGAGGGATCTGTATCTGCAGGAAGGGCTTCCCCAACCGGATCCTCTATGCAGAGTTCAAACAGCGATGGGCATAGCACCACTCTCACACATACAGTATGCATGTAGAACTTTATAATAATAATATAATATAATAATAATAATAATAATAATATAATATGCCATTTAGCAGACGCTTTTATCCAAAGCGACTTACAGTCATGCGTGCATACATTTTTTTTTGTGTATGGGTGGTCCCGGGGATCGAACCCACTACCTTGGCGTTACAAGCGCCGTGCTCTACCAGCTGAGCTACAGAGACACAGCACCACTCTCACACATACAGTATGCATGTAGAACTTTAAAAACACAGAGACAAACACGTGTATCATCTTATTATCAAAATGGCAATAATGTGAAGAATCAATTACAGTATGTGTTCCCTGCTGTGTGTGCTGTCCTGTGCAGGTATCCTATCCGGAACCCCATGGCTATCCCTGAGCACTCCTTTGTGGACAGCAGGAAGGCTGTGGAGAAGCTGCTGGGATCCCTGGACAGTACAAGTTTGGAATCACCAAGGTGATGTACTGTATGACTGAAACTGGTGCACCTAGATGAGTTTGGAGCTGGATTCCTGTGTTTTGAGATCTCATCTCTAGTTGTGCCCTGTATTGGGGCTGAAGCTTAAAGTATGGCCACTCCTCATCGGTTGTTGTAAAGTTTGGGACAGACTTACTTGACAGTATGTGTTGAGCGTCCAACCTGCTCTCAGAGCATTTCGTATTATTCTGTACGAAAATCCGAGACTCTCCATTTAGTGTGCTATGTTACGTTTCATATGGTAGGTATTAATTTGTGTCCATCACCCATTTTGTATGATATGTTATGAATTCCAATTCATATTATATGTTACAAATTTGCAAAACGTACAATATGTTACGAATTTGCAAAACCTATGATATGTTACGAATTCTATTTAGGTGGCTAACATTAGCTAGCTCGTTAACGTTAGGAAAGGGGAAATAATTAAACATATATGCCTGATTGATTAGGGATAGTGTGTGTATTAGCAGAGCTTTTTGGAAATGTGCTGTAAAGCAGTAGACTATAAAGGTAGCTAGAATTCTTTGTCCTATGGCTTTCCACACTTACATGTCCCTGTCATGTGTCCAATGAACTGGTCAGTCAAATGGTGGGCGTGGTTTAGATCCCTCCCTCCCCTCTTTGTTCTAAATTAGATCTGTGTGTGCCCTGCTTACCAAATATGGCCTGGCGGGCGCAGGTCATTGTCTCATTTGCTGTACAACAGTGGGTGCTGTGAGACAGCAAGCATGCTGGCCGGGGGGAGTAAATCGATAGTGAATCCCTGGCAAGGCAAGGCAGGAGACACACTGTGGGTCAGGTAGAGGTCTTTTATTATCTGAAACTCCAGCCCTCTGTGAAACCAGAGGACTTAATCCCTTATTACCTGGCCAGTTATTCCAGATATGTGGAGGCTCTGAACTCCAGGCTCCATAGACAAAGGGGGCCGGGGAGAATGGGTTATTATTAATACGGGGCTGGAGGACATGACAGCTGCTGTTGCTTCTCTTTACTGGCCATGTGTCAACCCCTCCTGTTTTTGTAAGCGCCATTTGCACCCGGAGGTTATAATGGGCTATTTCCACCAGGACCACACACACAATGTAAAGCAGGCAAGTGCTGACACATGCTCGCCACACGCCACATGCCACGTGCATACCGACAAACCTGGGGGCAAATACACACACTAACAAACACTCACACACACTAAATAACCTTGTCAATAAAATATTTTGGGTTTGGGCCTGAAAACTCAAAATACAGAGCCGTCCCAGTGGAACCGCTTCACTATGTTCTTTATTTCTCCTCCACCATCTTGCGTCTCTCCATCCTCATGAGTTGGCCCCGTAGCATGGCCCCGCAGCATGGCCCCGTAGCATGGCCCCGTAGCATGGCCCCGTAGCATGGCCCCGTAGCATGGCCCCGTAGCATGGCCTGCAGCATGGCCTGCAGCATGGCCCCGTAGCATGGCCCCGTAGCATGGCCCCGTAGCATGGCCCCGCAGCATGGCCCCGCAGCATGGCCCCGTAGCATGGCCCCGTAGCATGGCCCCGTAGCATGGCCCCGTAGCATGGCCTGCAGCATGGCCCCGTAGCATGGCCCCGTAGCATGGCCTGCAGCATGGCCCCGTAGCATGGCCCCGTAGCATGGCCTGCAGCATGGCCCCGTAGCATGGCCTGCAGCATGGCCCCGTAGCATGGCCCCGTAGCATGGCCCCGTAGCATGGCCCCGTAGCATGGCCTGCAGCATGGCCCCGTAGCATGGCCCCGCAGCATGGCCCCGTAGCATGGCCCCGTAGCATGGCCCCGCAGTATGGCCCCGCAGCATGGCCCCGTAGCATGGCCTGCAGCATGGCCTGCAGCATGGCGAGGATCTCAGACAGCCTCTCATCTCTCATGTCCTCCAGCAGGCCCCGCAGCTCTGCCTTGAAGAACCCATGAGGACACCCAACCTGGTCTCAGAGCACTTCGTATTATTCTGTACATAAATCTGAGTCACTCCATTTAGTATGTTATGTTACGTTTGGTATGGTTACATAAGACATATGGTTAATTGAGGAAAAAACGCGAACGTCTAGCAACCCAAAGGTTGCGAGTTCTAATCTAATCACAGACAAGTTTAGCTAATTAGCAACTTTTCAACTACTTACTACTAGCTACTTTGCAACTACTTAGCATGTTAGCTAACCCTTCCCCTAACCCTAACCCTTTTAGCTAACCCTTCCCCTAACCTTAACCTAACTCCTAAAATTAACTCTAACCTTAACCCTAATCCAGCTAAATTTAGTCCCAAATGTCATTCTGATTAAATTCAGACCTTACTTCTAGTCACCTCAGTGCACACAAAAACCATTCCCCTCCTCTTTTCACCCCATGTGTAACCTTGAATGCCTTTCCCATCTACCTCCACAGAGAGGCCTTAGAGAACATCTGGGCGTTTGCAGAGGTGAAGAACTGGCCATGGATGATGCTTTTCTTCAAGCTCAGGCCTCTCCTGAGGAGCACCACGGCAGAGAAGGAACTGGCCACCAGTCTGTTTAGCTATCATTCCGCTCCTTGCAACGCTAAACATTTTTTGGCCAATGACACGGAGTAAATGGAGTGGAATGTTAGCTAACAGACTGGTACCCAAGCTAGGGGGGATAGATGGGTGGCTCAATGCCTGCAGAGACATTTTTTCAGCATTCCTGTAGTGTAAACCTCTTGGGGTTACCTGGGCAGTCAATTTACTGTGCTGTATATCTCAGATACACTACTTGACCAAAACTATGTGGACACCTGCTCGTCGAACATCTCATTCCAAAATCATGGGCATTAATATGGAGTTGGTCCCGCCTTTGCTGCTATAACAGCCTCCACTCTTCTGGGAAGGCTTTCCACTAGATGTTGGAACATTGCTGCGGGGACTTGCTTCCTTTCACAAGAGCATTAGTGAGGTCGGGCACTGATGTTGGGCGATTAGGCCTGGCTCGCAGTCGGCGTTCCAATTCATTCCAAAGATGTTCGATGGGGTTGAGGTCAGGGCTCCGTGCAGGCCAGTCAAGTTCTTTCACACCGATCACGACAAACCATTTCTGAATGGACCTCGCTTTGTGCACGGGGGCATCGTCATGCTGAAACAGGAAAGGGCCTTCCCCAAACATTTGCCACAAAGTTGGAAGCACAGAATCGTCTATAATGTCATTGTATGCTGTAGCGTTAAGATTTCCCTTCACTGGAACTAAGGGACTTAGCCTGAACCATGAAAAATAGCCCCAGGCCATTATTCCTCCTCCACCAAACTTTACAGTTGGCACTATGCATTCGGGCAGGTAGCGTTCTCCTGGCATCCGCCAAACCCAGATTCGTCCGTCGGACTGCCATATGGTGAAGCGTGATTCATCACTCCAGAGAACGTGTTTCCACTGCTCCAGAGTCCAATGGCGGCAAGCTTTCATATTTATACCACATTGTTTGTTCCCCCTTTCTGTCCTCAGGTGAAGAACCGGATGGAGGAGATGGGTGTTCTGGGCGAGTCCATGTTGAGCCTGACCAAGGAGAAGACGGCTCTGCAGGAGGCCCATCAGCAGGCCCTGACTGACCTGTAGGTCGAGGAGGACAAGGTCAACATGCTGAGCAAGGCCAAGGTCAAGCTGGAGCAGCAAGTGGACATTGTTAGTAAAGGGACATGAAAAATACACACAATCACCAAATACAGTAGCCTAACTAGCTCCTTAGTTAAGCACATAGCGTCTGTCAATCATTAAAATGAAGGGTCACATTGCACAGCAGGACCTTAAGTTATTAACTTTTAAGGTATTCATTTGTCAGAAGGTTAACTGACCTCGAGAAGCTGACCAAACTCACCTTTCTCCTGCTCTATCTCTCGCTCTCTCCCCCTCTCACTCTCTGTGTAGCTGAGTACAGCTGTTGGCTATTATACAACGGGTGGGTCTAATCCTGAATGCTGATTGGTTAAAACCGCATTCCAGCCGGTGTCTATTCCACAAGTTACCACCGGCTAAATCTATGACGTTAAAATGCTTATTTAGTCTGTTCCATACTGACTGCGCAATCCACTGTCTCATCAGCCCAGCCAGGCAACTTATCAACTTGATCTCCACTATAAAAAGCATCTAGACATTATCTCACATTTCTTTAGACTAGCATTTCGTTTTCAACAGCGGAGATTTGTATAAACCTTGCTGTCTGTCTCTCCGACATTTGCAACATTGTTTCAATATTCAAATTAGATCTCCAGCTGTCCCAGAGTAATGAAAGTGTGACGAGACAGGGAGGCAGGCAGCGTTTCTCAGCCAGTCGAAATCATGAATAAGCTGGCATAATTTTTATGGATATATACCAAAAAACGTCAATTGAAAAAAGGTAAAACGAAACGCAGCTAATTTGCAGTCTTTTCAGCTTGAGTTTGAAGTAACTGGCTTACTGTAGCTGTGTTGTTGGCTAGCTCCTCTGAACAACAGTGTCCTGACGAGTGAGCACATTTTCTTTGCCAGGCGAAATCGCACCTCATTGGCTCATTGTTATGGATGTATCCAAATAAATGTCAAAACAAGGTCACAGGTCACACTTAGGTTAAAAACTAAGTGGTCACCCTGATATGTAAAAATCAACAACAAATAAGTTAAAAGGCTTTTTACTGTCAGATCCCATAACATGAATGATATGATTTCGCTAAGATTGCAGCAGATCATAGACCCCAAGATGCCGAGGGCGGGGTGTCACCACAACAGGGTCTCTCTCCCCCTGCCCCCTCCGGACGTCCAGATGCAGTACAGGTCCGAAGAGAAACTCTTCCTCGTCCTCTTCTTCCACAACAAGCGCAGCTGGCAATGGTTTCCTAGATCCAAGATGGTTCCCTTTGGTATCAATAAGACTGTGGACAAGATCAAACTGATGGAGGGCTGCTCCTCTGGCATCCGTAAAGCTGTGCAGACCGCCTTCCATCGCGCTGTGAACCACCTGAGCCAGGTCAAGGACAAGCCTAGCAGCGAGCCCCCCATGTAGCTCAGTTGGTAGAGCATGGCGTTTGCAACGCCAGGGTTGTGGGTTTGATTCCCACAGGGGGCCAGTATGAAAAATGTATGCACTCACTAACTGTAAGTCGCTCTGGATAAGAGCATCTGCTAAATTACAATGTAAATTTCTTCCTTGTTTGTCCCAGGCTAAGAATGCCCTGGCGCATGCATTACAGTACTCCAGACATGAATGTGAGCTGCTTAGGGAGCACTATGAGGAGGAGCAGGAGGCCAAGTCTGATCTGCAGAAGGCCAAAGCCAAGGCCAACACCGCAGTGGCCCAGTGGAGGACCAAGTATGAGATCAACACCATTCAGAGGACTGAGGAGCTGTCAAGTCAGGTCAGTGGCCAAGTCAGATTTACATTTTAGCAGACACTCTTATCCAGAGCGACTTACAGTTAGTGAGTGCATACATTATTCTTTTTTTAATACCAGATTACATTTACATTTTAGTCATTTAGCAGACGCTCTTATCCAGAGCGACTTACAGTTAGTGAATACATTTTTTTTTCATACTGGCCCCCCATGGAAATCGAACCCACAACCCTGGCGTTGCAAACGCCATGCTCTACCAACTGAGCTACATCCCTGCCGGCCATTCCCTCCCTACCTTGGACGACGATGGGCCAATTGTGCGCCGCCCATGAGTCTCCCGGTCGCGGCCGGCTGCAACAGAGCCTGGATTCGAACCAGGATCTGTAGTGGCACAGCTAGCACTGCAGTGCCTTAGACCACTGCGCCACTCAGGAGACTGATGCTCTCAAACCATCTGTTTGTCTATATTAATGAGCAGAGAAATAAAACCTTTGACCCAGACTCTCTTATTGCTCTTCTTTCTGAGAAACTGTAACGTTTCCAAGTGTGTTGAAACCCCCTGACTGTGACCCTGTAGGAAAAAGCTGGCGAGGCGTCTGCAGAACACTGAAGGCCTTGGGGGCGTCTTATGCCAAGTTTTTCCTCTCTGGAGAAGACCGAGCACCGGCTGCAGACAGAGATTGAAGACCTGATGGTGGATGTGGAGCGCTCCAATGCTGCTGCCCTCGCCCTGGACAAGAGACAGCGCATCTTTGACAAGGTGAGCAGTGAGCCCATCAACATTATTATTTAGTAAGTTGTGGAAAGAAGGATTTCCATGGTAACTCAAGAGCACAATAAGTAGTGAACATGACAATGTGAAATGCAGCAGGTGCTGTCAGAGTGGAAGCAGAAGTATGAGGAGTGCCAGTCAGAGCTGGAGAGACTCTCAGGAGTCTCACAGCCTGAGCACTGAGCTGTTCTCCTACGAGGAGACCATAGACCACCTGGAGACACTCAAACGGGAGAACAAAAAACCGGCAAGGTAAACAATGCTCCACATACTACCAATGAACATCACCGGAGTGAACACAAAAGCCTCTCTATCTAACCCAGAGTGGTATTTGTTTGTTTCCCCAGAGGAGATAGCTGACCAGACCATTCATGAGCTGGAGTGGATGAAGAAGGTTCTGGATATCGAGAAGAGTGACATCAAGGTTGTCCTGGAGGAAGCTGAGGTGAGCACACAGCACGAAAGTGTCTATTCTTAATACAAGGGTACAAAGAGTCCAGTGGAAACCTGAGAGCAGTGATCTCAAATCAAATCAAATTGTATTGGCCACATGCGCCGAATACAACAGGTGCAGACATTAAATTGAAATGCTTATTTACAGCCCTTAACCAACAGTGCATTTATTTATAATAAAAAAGTAAAATAAAACAACAAAAAAGTGTTGAGAAAAAAAGAGCAGAAGTAAAATAAAATAACAGTAGGGAGGCTATATATACAGGGGTGTACCGGTTGGTGTGACCATGTAACTCAGCCATGTGACACTGTTCGATTGCTCTGATCCAGGGCACCGTTGAGCAAGAGAGCAAGAACCTTCGTGTCCAACTGGAGCTGAACCAGCTCAAGACTGAGGTGGACAGGAAGATAGCCGAGAAGGACGAGGAGGACTCCATGACAGTCTTCCAGTATGCTTTTATAAGCAGCACAGATTAGTCAGTATTTATTTTGGATAGTGTTTTAGGCTTCTCTCTCTAAGCAGCCTATTTAATAATAATAATAATAATAATAATAATAATAATAATATATGCCATTTTGCAGACTCTTTTATCCAAAGTGACATAGTTATTCATGCATACATTTTTTACAAATGGGTGGTCCTGGCAATTGAAAACACTATCCTAGCGCTGCAAGCCCCATGCTCTACCAACTGAGCTACAGGGGACGATTTGTCACTTTCCCTGCACCAGCGCTCCCTCGAGTCCCTGTAGACCACCCTGGAGGCCAAGGCCAGGTCCAGGAATGAGGCTCTGCAGTTGAAGAAGAAGATGGAGGGAGACATGAACGAGATGGAGGTCAAGCTGAACCACACCAGCAGACAAGCTGCTGAGTCCCAGAGGATACTGCGCTACCTGCAGGTGCAGTGGAGCACTAACACAATTCATAAAATGTCTTATTTTAGTCATTTAGCAGACTCATATCCAGAGCGACTTAGTTAGTTAGTACATTAATCTTATATCACAGTCATAGTAAATACATTTCTCAATAAAGTAGTTCTCAGCAAAGTTAGTGCTAGTAAGAAAAGACTAGTGCAATTCATACTATTATAGGATCAACATTTTCATAGATCTTTCACACGAACAACACAATTTATACTTAGGGCAGATATTTATCATTAATAATAAACCATTTGTATAGTGACCATTAACATGTGTTGACTGGATAACTGCATCGGCCAGAATGAGGAACTGAAGGAGCAGTGGGGCCTGACGGAGCGTAGGAACAACTTGCTGATGGCCGAGGTGGAGGAGCTGCGCACCGTGGTGCAGCAGACCGACCGCGGATGCAAGATGGCCAAACATGAGCTGCTGGAGACAACCGAGAGTCAACCTGCTGCATGCCCAGGTAGGAGACACCTCAGGGGGCGGTCTGGTTAGGGTCTGGCATGGGATGGATGAGAGGATAGAAAGATGTGCAATGTGACAGAACTGTTATGATAAAGTACAGTGCCTATAGAAAGTCTACACCCCCTTGAACTTTTTTCACATTTTGCAGCCTTAAAATTACATCTAAAAAGGGATTAAATTCGATTTTTTCCCCTACAGATCTACACAACCTACTCCACATTTTCAAAGTGAAAGAAAGCTATATACAATTTTCCCAATTTTATTTTTACTGAAATATCATCATTGGATCAGTCTCCATCCCCCAGATGTAATACTTGGTTAAAGCAAATTTGGCAGCCATTACAGCTGTGAATCATTTTCATTAAGATTCTACCAACTGCAAAACTCTTAGGGTAACATACAGTGCTTTCAGAAAGTATTCAGACCCCTTCACTTTTTCCACATTTTGTTACGTTACAGCCTAAATCTAAAATGGATTAAATTGTTACCCCCCCCCTCCCATCTATCTACACACAATACCCCATAATGACAAAGCAAAAACTGGTTTTTAGAAATGTTTGCAAATTTTTAAGTCTTCTTGGGTATGACGCTACAAGCTTGGCACACCTGTATTTGGGGAGTTTCTCCCATGCTTCTCTGCAGATCCTCTCAAGCTCTTTTCAGGTCTCTCCAGAGATGTTCGATCGGGTTCAAGTCCGGGCTCTAGCTGAGCCACTCAAGGACATTCAGAGACTTGTCCCGAAGCCACTCATGCGTTGTCTTGGCTGTGTGCTTAGGGTCGTTGTCCTGTTGGACGGTGAAACCTTCGCCCCAGTCTGAGGTCCTGAGCGCTCTGTTGCAAGGATCTCTGTACTTTGCTCCGTTCATCTTTCCCTCGATCCTGACTAGTCTCCCAGTCCCTGCCACTGAAAAACATCCCCACAGCATGATGCTGCCACCACCAAGCTTCACCGTAGGGATGGTGCCAGGTTTCCTCCAGATGTAACAGTTGGCGTTCAGGCCAAAGAGTTCAATCTTGTTTTTCATGGTCTGAGAATCCTTTAGGTGCCTTTTGGCAAAATCCAAGTGGGCTGTCATGTGCCTTTTACTGAGGAGTGGCTTCCGTCTGGCCACTCTACCATAAAGTCCTGATTGGTGGAGTGCTGCAGAGATGGTTGTCCTTCTGGAAGGTTCCCCCATCTCCACAGAGGAACTCTGTCAGAGTGACCATCAGGTTCTTGGTCACCTCCCTGACCAAGGCCCTTCACCCCGATTGCTCAGTTTGGCCGGGCGGCCAGCTCTAGGAAGAGTCTTGGTGGTTCCAAACTTCTTCCATTTAAGAATTATAGAGGCCACTGTGTTCTTGGGGACCTTCAATGCTGCAGAAATGTGTTGGTACCCTTCCCCAGATCTGTGCCTCGACACAATCCTGTCTCTGAGTTCTACGGACAATTCCTTCGACCTCATGGCTTGGTTTTTGCTCTGACATGCACTGTCAACTGTGGGACCTGATATATATATATATGTGTGTGCCTTTCCAAATCATGTCCAATCAATTGAATTTACCACAGATGGACTCCAATCAAGTTGTAGAAACATCAAGGATGATGAATGGAAACAGGATGCACTTGAGCTCAATTTCGACTCATAGCAAAGGGTCTGAATACTTATGTAAATAAGGTATCGTTTTTTTGTTTGTAATAAATGTGCAAAAATGTATAAAATCCTGTTTTCGCAGCGTCATTATGGGGTATTGTGTGAAGATTGATTTGGATTTTTTTTAAATGTAATCTATTTTAGAATAAGGCTGTAACTTAACACCCTGTGAAAAAAGTCAAGGGGTCTGAATACTTTCCGAATACACTGAATAGCCATTGTTTTTGTCAAAATTGCTCAGGCTCAGTAATTTTGGTTGGGGTTCATTGATAGACAGCGATATTTAAATCTTGTTTTAAGCATATTTAAGTCAGGACTGAGACTAAACCACTCAACACCTCTTGGAAAGCCATTCTGGTATGTGTTTTGCATACAAATGTGTGTAATTGTCCCACATAAAAATAAAACTGTCCCAGGGTTAGGTTTTAAAACTGAGGTGGGCTTTGCTCCTTTCATATTTATTTTCATCCTAACAAACTCCCCAGTCCTTACCCATAATGATGCTGCCACCACAATACTTGAAAATACAAGGGATCAACAAGATTGCATTCACTCCATATTACTGGCCTGTATAACAAAGTGAAAAGAAAGAAGCCAGTGTAAAGAAAATCAATTCCATATCATCCATTCTGTTTGCAACACGGCTGTTAAATAATACTGCAAGACAACACGGCAACTACATTAAAAACGACAGGGTTGGGTCAAATCCAATACAACAGAGTGAAACCCTCTCTATTTACAAGTATTGTGGTGGCGGCATCATGTTATGGGTATGCTTGTCATCGGCAGGGACTGGGAAGTTTGTCAGGATCAAAATAAATATGAAAGTAGCCCAGGTAAAATGCAAGAGGAAAACCCACCGGTCTTCTGAAATGGCTTTCCAAGACGTGTGGAGTGTTCCCGAGTGATCTAGTCTCAGTCCTGACTTAAATCTCCTTGCAGAATGAAGTGGAGGCCTGCTAGTACTCCTGGATGAAACTCAGTGCTTTCAGATGACTGCAATGTGTTTTAAGTGTTTGACATGAGTGTGTGATAGACTAACACAAACCAACACAATGTTAAAAGATGAAATACTTAAAAATGGCCTTTGACAGCACTGTCCATTGTCAGCAATAGATTGTATAGCCTACTTTACATCCATGGGTTGTAGTGAATTAAAGCACTTAAATAAAGAGACTAGGCAGATCTAAAGTTGTGTTCTGTTATTTCTCATTCGCTTTACAAAGTGAAATTAGAGAGGGTGGAAGTGATACTTACCTGTGTATTAGATGAACACACATACTCTCACTGACTTTCTGAGAAGAGCTCAGACATAGGACCTGTGTCACATACAGATACACATTCTGAAACAGGGACAATCTCGGAGTCTCATGCCGTAAGTGAAGCATCTTTCCTAACGTTACTTAGGATGGCAGTCAGGACTCCTGTGTGTGTCGGACACAAAACATTCATTCTTCTGGTGAGTCCATGTTCCAGAGCCTTGTGTCGACCTTGTCCTTCACCTAAATACTTTGATAATTTCTTTAAATATAGAGCCTTTTTTTAGACCACCAAAATAAAACAATTGCTTGTCCCTGAAATATCAATGTTCTGGTCCCACTTGTATTAAATGTCCCTAAAACATTTTGACATAGTAATTACATACCGTTAGATACAGAGTAATGTCGTTCTTTTCCCAGTTGGTGTACTTATACATCGCGTTGACTGCACATCAAAATGTATTTAATATGCATTATATCTGCAAACAAATTCAAATGTATTGTGTTAAAACATCTCCTTCCTGTTTGACACTCGCCTTACGTGCAAATCTCAGAAATGTTGCCTCAAACAGGTATACCAGTTGTAAGTACTAACCCTGTATATGTACCCACTATATCTGCCAGTGTAATTACCATGTAAATGCAGAGTTTTGCCACCACTCAATATGAAGTTGGACCGTCGTTTTTTTGCCGGAGGGTTTCCACTAGTTACAACAAACACAAAGTCAAAACGGGCTATATCGTAACAATTCATGAAAACAAAAGTAACCCTTTTTGGTCCTAATTTAAGGTTAGGCGTAAGGTTAGCAGTGTGGTTAAGGTTCGGTTTAAAAATCACATCTTAAGAAGAGAAATTAAAGATATAGGCGGGGGTTATGACTTTATGGATGTGGTAACTAGTGACGACCGGGTACGAGAGATCATCTCCATTCTGTTAGTGAAAGGCAGAAGTCCTCTGGGGCTGCTGATTGGCTGACTGTTTTCCCCCACAGATACAATAGAATGGAAACTCCAGCATGTGACACACCCCAACACAGCTATACACCAGAGGAGGCTGGTGGGAGGAGCTATAGGAGGACAGGCTCATTGTAATGCCTGGAATGGAATAAATGGAACAGTATCAAACACATCAAACATATGGAAACCACATGTTTGACCCATCCCATTTACTCCATTCCAACCATTACAATGAGTCCGTCCTCCTATAGCTCCTCCCACCAGCCTCCACTGCTATAAACACACATACACGACACAAGCATACGCATCCACTCCTACACCAAGACCTAATACCCACACTAAAGCATATCCACACACACAAATGCAAAAATTCATACACATGCCCAAAACTGTGCACACAGTCATTCTGTACACCTATGGATCCCTGAATAACAGCTATGTGGAGGAGTGAGCGCTCTGATATGTCCAGTCTTTAGGTGATTGAGACATTGCCTCTCCTCTCCGTTTTTATCCATCTTCTTTCCATCCACCCATCTTTGCCCTTTTCCAGAGACAGCTTCCCAGGGACTAAACTTCCAGAAAGTCTCTTCCCAGATCCATGTAGGCCTCGTCGATGTAGCTGGCTATGGCACAAAGTGATGTCCGGTCTGAGTCCAACAGAACCGACACCGTCTCCTTCCAATAGGTGAAGAGGATACAGGAGCTCTGTTGCAGAATGAGAGAGAATGATAGGAGGAGAGAGAGAGAATGATAGGAGGAAGAGAGCGAATAATACGAGAGAGAGAATGATAGGAGGAGAGAGAATGATGCGAGAGAATGATAGGAGAGAAGGCGAAGAGATAATACGGCTGGAGAGAGAATGATAGGAAGGAGGGAGAGAGAGAGAATGATAGGAGAGAGAGCGAATAATACGAGAGAGAGAATGATACGAGAGAGAGAGAATAATACGAGAATGATAAGAGATAAAATGATAATGATAGGAGAGATAAAATGATAGAAAGAGAATGATACGAGGGGAGATAAAATGATAAGCGATAAAATGATAGAGTGATAGGAAGAGAGAGGGAATGATAGGAGAGAGAATGATAAGGGATAAAATGACTGATGTGAGAGGATGATGAGAGAGGGAATGATAGGGAGAGAGAATGATAGGTAGATGATAGAGTGATAGGAAGAGAGAGGGAATGATAGGAGAGAGAATGATAAGCGATAAAATGATAGAGTGATAGGAAGAGAGAGGGAATGATAGGAGAGAGAATGATAAGCGATAAAATGATAGAGTGATAGGAAGAGAAAATGATAGGAAGAAATGATACGAGATAGGTAAGGAAAGAAGGATAAAAATGATAGCGATAAGATAAGTGAAAGAGAGAGGGAATGATAGGAGAGAGAATGATATAGAAAGGTAAAGGGGGATATCTAGTCAGTTGCACAACTGAATGCATTCAACAGAAATGTGTCTTCTTCATTTAACCCAAGTAAGTCACTCAACCACAATAGGACAGAACATGGTTTAGTGTACAGGTGACCTAATACAGAATTACCACCCTAGAGTAGTCGGCCCCTAGAGTAGTCAGGCCCCTAGAGTAGTCGGCCCCTAGAGTAGTCAGGCCCCTAGAGTAGTCGGCCCCTAGAGTAGTCGGCATTCAAGTAACAACGGTGTGTGTGCTGGCGCATTGGGGAGGACACTCACGTTCTCCAGACAGGTGCTGTCCTTGTCCTTGTTGAGGTAGTGGCGCTGCCAGAAGCGCAGCAGGTTGTGGAAGTTGTTGAGCAGGCAGCCGGGGTATTTCTCAGCGTACTCCTTCTCTCTCAGGGCATTGAGGTAGAAGGACAGCTTGCCCCGTCTCCTGGCCAGCATCAATACCACCAGGCTGGTGTTCAGACAGCTCACATTCTCCTAATATTGGTAGGGTCCAGCCACCATCAAACAGATGGGAAAGGAAACAGTCCGTTAAACATGCAGATGATCCAGACAAGTTTATGTCTCAATATGAGAAACAAGAAATACAGGAATGTGAAGTCTGATAGCTAGAAGGAGGATGCAATGGCATGACAGTCATTAGCATCCGAGTAAAACTGACAACGGAGAATGGAATAGGGGGTTTCCTTGCCTGTGTGAGCGTCTGCACGTTGATGATGTTGACGAGCCTGAAGAGGATAGTCAGTCTGTTCTCCACACGGACCATGTAGGACAACAGACTGCACTCTGCCAGCACCTCCACCACTACAGGAAAGAGAGAGAGAGAGATGGAGTCAGAGGTGGATTTCTAGGAATGCCCAGAGTAGACGTAACCCACTGGTTGAATCAACCTTGTTTCCACGTCACTTCAACCCAAAAAGAAATCTATGTGATGACATTGAATCAATGTGGACAACTGATTGGATTTGCAAAAAGTCATCAACGTCAGGGAATGTCTTTTTTTAACCCATATTTTAACCTAAATCCAATGACGTTGATTTCACATTAGTTGACAACTCAACCAAATGTAAATCAAAACTTGACGTTGAACTGACGTCTGCGCCCAGTGGGAATATTTCACTACTCCAAAGCCACACACAAATCCTCCTGATGCTTCAGTGGGCTGACTAAAACAACTGAAGTGTTTATTTTTTATTTAGTTCAATTCAGGTCAGTTAAGAATAAATACTTATTTACAATGACTGCCTGGTTCATTCTTAAAAGTCTAAGCTGGGGGGGGGGGTTCTAAACTGACATATGGAATTGTTTTAAGATGGTCATACTATGGATTTTTTAGCTATTTGATTTAGAATTATTTCATAAAATATTGATTTTGGCCTTTACTACTATGGCCCAGAGAAACGCATTGAATAACACATTCATAAATTGCAAAAAAAGACAGTCAAAAGATAAATGGTAAGAAACAAGGTTTTGAAGTGTTTGTCCGAAATCTAGCGAGATAAGAAAGCTCAGGAAATATATATATATATATATATACACACACAGTTATGTAAAGTAAAAATACTTTGAAGTACTACTTAAGTCTGTACTTTACTTTCCTATTTATAGATTTGACAACTTTTACCCCACTACATTCCTAAAGAAAATAATGTACTTTTTACTCCATACATTTTCCCTGACACCCAAAAGTACTAGTTACATTTTGAATGCTTAGCAGGACAGGAAAATGGTCCAGTTCACACACTTATCAAGAGAACATCCCTGCTCATCCCTACTGCCTCTGATTTGGCGGACTCACTAAAAACAAATGCTTTGTTTGTAAATGACGTCTGAGTGTGCCCCTGGCTATCTGTAAATTTTAAAAACAAGAAAATAGAAGGAATGTGAAATGATTTATACTTTTACTTTTGATACTTAAGTATAAGTATATTTGAGCAATTACATTTATTTTTTATACTTAAGTATATTTAAAACCAACTACTTTTAGACTTTTACTCAAGTAGTATTTTACTGGGTGACTTTCACTTTTACTTGAGCCATTTTCTATTAGGGCATCTTTACTTTTACTCAAGTATGATAATTAGGTACTTTTTCTACCACTGTGTGTGTGTGTTATATATATATATACATACACACAGTGGGGGAAAAAAGTATTTAGTCAGCCACCAATTGTGCAAGTTCTCCCACTTAAAAAGATGAGAGAGGCCTGAAATGTTCATCATAGGTACACGTCAACTATGACAGACAAAATGAGAAAACAAATTCCAGAAAATCACATTGTAGGATTTTTAATGATTTTTATTTGCAAATTATGGTGGAAAATAAGTATTTGGTCAATAACAAAAGTTTCTCAATACTTTGTTATATACCCTTTGTTGGCAATGACACAGGTCAAACGTTTTCTGTAAGTCTTCACAAGGTTTTCACACACTGTTGCTGGTATTTTGGCCCATTCCTCCATGCAGATCTCTTCTAGAGCAGTGATGTTTTGGGGCTGTCGCTGGGCAACACAGACTTTCAACTCCCTCCAAAGATTTTCTATGGGGTTGAGATCTGGAGACTGGCTAGGCCACTCCAGGACCTTGAAATGCTTCTTACGAAGCCACTCCTTCGTTGCCCGGGCGGTGTGTTTGTGATCATTGTCATGCTGAAAGACCCAGCCACGTTTCATCTTCAATGCCCTTGCTGATGGAAGGAGGTTTTCACTCAAAATCTCACGATACATGGCCCCACTCATTCTTTCCTTTACACGGATCAGTCGTCCTGGTCCCTTTGCAGAAAAACAGCCCCAAAGCATGATGTTTCCACCCCATGCTTCACAGTAGGTATGGTGTTCTTTGGATGCAACTCAGCATTCTTTGTCCTCCAAACACGACGAGTTGAGTTTTTACCAAAAAGTTCTATTTTGGTTTCATCTGACCATATGACATTCTCCCAATCCTCTTCTGGATCATCCAAATGCACTCTAGCAAACTTCAGACGGGCCTAGACATGTACTGGCTTAAGCAGGGGGACACGTCTGGCACTGCAGGATTTGAGTCCCTGGCGGCGTAGTGTGTTACTGATGGTAGGCTGTGTTACTTTGGTCCCAGCTCTCTGCAGGTCATTCACTAGGTCCCCCCGTGTGGTTCTGGGATTTTTGCTCACCGTTCTTGTGATCATTTTGACCCCACGGGGTGAGATCTTGCGTGGAGCCCCAGATCAAGGGAGATTATCAGTGGTCTTGTATGTCTTCCATTTCCTAATAATTGCTCCCACAGTTGATTTCTTCAAACCAAGCTGCTTACCTATTGCAGATTCAGTCTTCCCAGCCTGGTGCAGGTCTACAATTTTGTTTCTGGTGTCCTTTGACAGCTCTTTGGTCTTGGCCATAGTGGAGTTTGTAGTGTGACTGTTTGAGGTTGTGGACAGGTGTCTTTTATACTGATAACAAGTTCAAACAGGTGCCATTAATACAGGTAACGAGTGGAGGACAGAGGAGCCTCTTAAAGAAGAAGTTACAGGTCTGTGAGAGCCAGAAACCTTGCTTGTTTGTAGGTGACCAAATACTTATGTTCCACCATAATTTGCAAATAAATTCATTAAAAGTCCTACAATGTGATTTTCTGGATTTTTTTTCTCAATTTGTCTGTCATAGTTGACGTGTACCTATGATGAAAATTACAGGCCTCTCTCATCTTTTTAAGTGAGAGAACTTGCACAATTGGTGGCTGACTAAATACTTTTTTTCCCCACTGTATATACCTGCAAAATCGGCAGTGTATCAAATACTTGTTCCCCCCACTGTGTATATATAATATATTTTTTTTTTTACACATATTTAACCCATTTTTTAGGTTGGCACAAAACTACCTTCATACTTCCATTAATTTTTTACAACTGGTACTGTTACCTTCAGACGAGTCCAGTGACACTTGTGGGGGGTCTTAGAGCAAAAGGGAGAACAACATAGTGTTTGTGAGAATCTCTACTTTCCACAGTGGGGTCACATTAGTTTGTAACCCAAACCATTCGGACGCTACAAACAGAAGTTGGCACGTTGATGGTACCGACTTCAGACGAGTCCCGACACTTGTTGAGTCGTAGAGCAAAATGGACACCACCACTTACATTGACGCACCGGTGTGCCAATCGACTCTAGGGGGTGAACACGTTTCTACAGCCACAAACATGTGCTCACCAGTAGGGCTAAGACTATTTTCGATGGACCTACCTCTCACATCGTCAGTCTGGCTCTCGAAGCGGTCCAGGGACAGGATGATACAGCGCACCAGCATGTTGGAGTCCACCAGAGAGCTGTTGATCTGGGTCATGAACGTCTGGAACTAACACAGGAAGCAGAAATGAAACCAAAGATGTATTACGGAAGTGATCTGTAGGGTTAAGCTAGAAAATGGACGGCACTCAACCCCTTTCCATCGGCCTGATCCTCATTCCTTTGAAGTGCCTCTCCCCTGGGCAGTGTCCTACCTTCTCCTCCGTGTTGACGTATTTGTTGAACCTCTTGAAGGAGTCGATGTTGAACTTCATGAGTTCCCCCAGCAGGTCAAAGTAACTCTGCAGGACGTCCCTGGACTTACAGCCGCTGTCTATGATGCAGAACAGGATGTGCTGGAAGGACAGAGGAGAGGGATTAATGGGAGGTTTTTAAATGAATACTTGAAGGTGGTTCTATCATAGGTGTGTGTGTGTGGCTTCACTGGCTTGGCGACAGCCTCTGTACCTCCAGCAGCCCTCTCTTGAGCAGGAACACCTGGTCAGCATAGGAGGTGGCTCCTCTCAGGAAGCTCTCTACCGCCCTCGCCTGCCAGAACCTACACACAGAGACACTAGTCTTCCTCTTTCTTAACCTGATGATGTTTCACTCATTAACTCCTGGAGTAAACACACACTCACCTGAATGAGGATTCGGCCGGTTCTTTCTTCATGACTGAAAGTAGCCGTGTCAGGAGGCCCTTTTTACCATCACAGATTAGATTTCTATATAGAAGAGAAAAAAGATGCAATGCAGGATTTGACAAATTCAGAAAAAACAAAAATGTCCTCCATCCCAGTGCCCCAGCCTAACTAAGAGCCCTACCTGTCCGTGTTGACGAGAGCCTCCACCTCAGGGATGTTGGCCTTCAGAGAGATGGCACTGAGCTCATTCAGCTCCTGAGCGTTCAGGAGGAGATACTTGTTCCTGAGAGAGAGGAGGAAAGTTCAGACATGATCCAAATGATAGAGTCATTGAACATGATGGTACCAAACTCAGTTTCAGGTCATGTGTCTAATTCCCCAGCAATACAGTTTAATTCATACAGTCTGTACTGAACTCACTCATGGTGGTCGCTGAAGCTCTGGAGTAGTCGTAGAAACTGGATTTTAAAGGAGATCTCCTGTGTGTGTGATCGAGAGAGGAGGACCAGTGAGTGCTGCAATAGAGGTGCTTAGTGCTACAGCGCCATTGAACCCATTCCCAGAGCGGTCTTCTTACCGGGCTGCAGTCACAGTTCTGGTTCTGGCCGTGGAGGACGTGGGTGGACGTCTGCCTTCTCCAGATCAGCTTGTCAAATAGGTTGTTGAGTCCTGGAATCAGTTTGAACTCTGCCAGCATTCTGTGAACCTGTTTACAAGGCACCATATGTTTACAATCAAATGGATTCTATAATTAAACAGTAAGGCCCGAGGGGATGTGGTATATGGCCAATATACCATGGCTAAGGGCTGTTGTTAGGCACGACGCAATGCAGAGTGCCTGGACACAGCCCTTAGCCGTGGTATATTGGCCATATACCACGAACCCCCGAGGTGCCTTATTGCTATTATACACTGGTTACCAAAGTAATTAGAACAGTAATAATACATGTTTTGTCATACCCGTGGTATACAGTCTGATATACCACGGCTGTCAGTCAATCAGCATTCAGGGCTCGAACCACCCAGTTTATAAAGCCCCTTTTACATCAGCAGTTGTCACAAAGTGCTTAACAGACACCCAACCTAAAACCCCAAATGGCAAGCAATGCAGCAGCAGAAGCACAGTAGCTACTTTACAATCTCAGTTACTGATGGAAGCCATTTCCTGTTGTAAACTAAAGTCCACATATCTGTCTCACCTGGTTCCTCTGGCGGCCAATGAGAAGCACACAGAGCACATAGAGCACCTCCACCTTGTACATGATCTCATGGACGATCTTCATGGACTGGGGCAGACTGTGCCTGAGAGGACTGGTGGCCAGAGAGCTCTCGTCTGATGACTCTGAGAAAGAAAGAGCACAGTGTACGGAAACACATTAAGATTCAGGAATGCTAACTGGCGAGGGTCCAAAAAGGTGGAGAAAAAAAAATCTGTGAACTGCAAGAAAATATGTAAACTGTACGATATTTTTTTGCCTATTTTGTGAGGTTGTCACAATACCAATATTTTACTAATGATGTGACACCAGGCCAAGTATCACGATACCGAGTAGATTAATACTAATTAATTGTGCAGTCCTAAGGCAATATACCTTGTTATTAGCTAGCTAGCCAGGTAACATGACTAAACAAGGTCGTTTGAGTAGCCCTCGAGTAGTTTAAAACGTCCATGGTTTATAAATATAAAATGTGCACCAATTCGCGGTAGAAAGGGGAGAAGGTAGCTCTGGTAGTTTGGGCTAGAAAATTGCAGTTTTCAGTCATGTAAAGGCACAAGCATGACCGTCTCTGTGCTCCGTTTTTCCCTCTATGGCAGTGGTACTCAACCTAGTCAGACTGGCCTGCTTGTTCTTACAGAGGAAATGAAAAGATCTGTATCCACTTCGCTCGCACTGCGAGCCGCTCCGATAATTAAACAAATGTAACAGAAACCGCATCACTGTCTACACAACCCCAGTCCACCATCACGGCTGAATAACATTTGAAAACTTACGGAGAAGCGCAGAAAGAACGGCTGGAGAGAAGCAGCTGAGTAGGCTAATGGCTGGTTAGGGGATGTGGCTGGAGAGAAGCAGCTGAGTAGGCTAATGGCTGGTTAGGGGATGTGGCTGGAGAGAAGCAGCTGAGTAGGCTAATGGCTGGTTAGGGGATGTGGCTGGAGAGAAGCAGCTGAGTCGGCTAATGGCTGGTTAGGGGATGTGGCTGGAGAGAAGCAGCTGAGTCGGCTAATGGCTGGTTAGGGGATGTGGCTGGAGAGAAGCAGCTGAGTCGGCTAATGGCTGGTTAGGGGATGTGGCTGGAGAGAAGCAGCTGAGTAGGCTAATGGCTGGTTAGGGGATGTGGCTGGAGAGAAGCGGCTGAGTAGGCTAATGGCTGGTTAGGGGATGTGGCTGGAGAGAAGCAGCTGAGTAGGCTAATGGCTGGTTAGGGGATGTGGCTGGAGAGAAGCAGCTGAGTAGGCTAATGGCTGGTTAGGGGATGTGGCTGGAGAGAAGCAGCTGAGTAGGCTAATGGCTGGTTAGGGGATGTGGCTGGAGAGAAGCGGCTGAGTAGGCTAATGGCTGGTTAGGGGATGTGGCTGGAGGGAAGCAGCTGAGTAGTCTAATGGCTGGTTAGGGGATGTGGCTGGAGAGAAGCAGCTGGTTAGGGGATGTGGCTGGAGAGAAGCAGCTGGTTAGGGGATGTGGCTGGAGAGAAGCGGCTGAGTAGGCTAATGGCTGGTTAGGGGATGTGGCTGGAGAGAAGCAGCTGAGTAGGCTAATGGTTGGTTAGGGGATGTGGCTGGAGAGAAGCGGCTGAGTAGGCTAATGGCTGGTTAGGGGATGTGGCTGGCTGCTCACACCGGACACTGGATGATGAAGCACTCATTCTGATATGACACTCTGCTATTCTATTTGTAGGACACGTAGGGATGCATTCTGTGCTCAGTCAGAAACATCCGCCTTTATTTAGAGATCACACAGGGAGAAGATCAGGTTGCACTTCTATAGCCCAATGGGTGATACACTCTGCACCTGCAGATCTACATTCACGTGGATGACCTACTTTGAGATCAAAACGGCAAACAGTGACGACTCACGCGTGACTGTAAAGTCTGTCACACTCTGACCCATATTACTGATGTCTAAGAAAACTGTGAACGACAGTCCATTATACTGTAAGCATATTTCAGATGACTGGAGCACGGCGTGTGACGGAGAGTGCATGTATATCTATTGGTCTGACCTGTGCTGCTCTGCTCTGCGTCCTCTGTGGCCATCTGCATAAGCGCGTCCAGCACCAGGGCGTTGTCCAGCCAGGTGTACCAGTCCTGAAGCTCCAGTAACAGGCTGGATGCCCCCGAGGCCTCAGACACCTTCCTGGTAGCCAGTTTACACAGCCGCTCAATGAAGCTCGGGATGCTCAGCAGGGCCACTGATGCACACAGGGGTTAAAGCAAAAATAAATCCCATGCATGACTACAACTTAAGTCCATCTCAGCTCGCGTGCCACATTGGGATTTCCAAATTCAATTATGACTGATTTGTTTGTCAAAATCAATTTGCGGGACAAAAAAGGGCAATTATTTGAAACTATATATGTCCATTATCATTTCTACATACTTCCTATCTAGTTTTAGACATTCAAGTGTGGCCTGGAGTGTTTCTTTAACCCAAAATAATAATTTCCCCCCAAAGAATGGTTTAGTCAAACCTCCTGCGTCATCCATATGACGGAAATCCGTCACAGTGACTGAGAACTTTAACCCCTGTGCACAGTGAGAGAACAGATTATTTGATTATCAAATTACTGTTTCCCATTAAAGTGGCAATCAGCAGTCAAAACAATAACAAAGCGTACTCCCCGCCACTGTTTCACTAAAAAGCTGCAGCATGGGGCTGGAGAAATGTAACCATTCTCAAATTCATAAACAGAGCTATGGATGAAAGGACTGACCATCCATTATATCAAAATTATACTTTGTTCACCAACATTGGAGTAAAACAAGCTTATATTTTGGGTTTTGATGGGATACGACAGTTGAACTAAGCTCATGAGGCATTTATACGTTATATTCTTCAAGAATCAATAGGTACATATCATTAATTTATAAGTCCAAAAATATATATAGCTACTGCAGATTTCCCCTTTAACTGAGTCCTAAGGAAACATTGAGGAGTACAAATCCATCATTTTGTTCATCTCATTCATCGTTGAGCAATAGAGAGACAAGTCATTTGCAAGGGATTTTCTTCATTAAAAAGCTAGTCATATGAAGCAATGCCTTCTATTCTCTCTCCCTGGTCTGATGGTGAGACCTGTCTTACCCTGGTTGACTTCAGAGTGGGACGGGCAGAGGTTGGCCTTCTGCTGGGCGTTTTTAGCCAGCAGTGTGTGCTTGTCATCGTTGCTCATTTCCGGCTCAGAGATGGTGACTGACAGGATGCGGCAGAAGTTGGCCAGCTGCTGCTGGTTGAAGCTCTGGACCAGACTGGGCAGGTTGGGGATGTCCTCCAGCTGGATCATCTCCTGGAGCATAGAGATGAAGGTGGAAGGTACAGGTTATTGGGGTCATTCCACTTCAAATAGGCACAGGACAAATGGTTCTGGAATGCTTCTTAGATGTTTCTAACTACAGAAACCATTTCATACAAAATAGTGGGTGTCATGGCTTGCTGAAATGACATGGAACAACTCATTAACGTTTTTTGTGAATCTTTTGGGCATTTGGGTTCGGTTTGATATGATCAAAGTTCAGCAAATGTGTAAGGACTGACAGTGATAGTATGGATTTTGAGGCCGTCCTTACCTTCCTGACCCCAAGAATGTCCTCAATCAATGTGGCTGTTTGCAAAAATGTCTTCTTGTTTGACATTAGTGTAAACAAAAACATGACAAAGTCGTCTCGTGATGCCAGACTTCTAGTGACTCCTTCCATCTGAAAGTGAGGGAAAGCTCATGATTAACCTTCCCTGACTAAAAGAAAGGAAAGAGGGTGGACATCATCCTGTCAGACAGTGTTAAAGGAAAACTCCACCCAAAAACTATATTTTTGTATTTGTTTCATTAGTCCATTGTTGACATAGTCCCAAAATGTTTTGCTTGTCAACAATCAAGTTTTCAAGATATGTAACTTTCATATGATATTGCGTTTGGCATCATACAGGGATGATTTCTGTATTTCTTACATGCATTCAAACACTTTTTTTTTTGATACTTACACATATACAACAATTGTACAGAACACTTAAACAATCCTTGACGAGGTCATCACTCACTGCAATGAGAACATATATGTTAGAATATATTCAAGGCATGAAAAAATTGGTTCCTCACATTTGCAAAACTATGACCCAGGAATGTAATATGGCTTACTTTTAGGGAAATTGGTCCGTGTGGTGAGGGTGGGTCTCATCAGAATCTCCACTAGTAACTGAGGACAAAGTAGAAATTAAAACCCTGACACAGCAAATATGGTCACTGACAAGACCGTCGGTTCTATATGCCTGTGTCAACATGTTGGAGACTCACATCAACGCCTCCAAAGAGGTCAAAGGTGTATGTGTTAGGATAGGTGGACTCCTGTGCTGTTCTCCTGTCCTCTGTCACAAACGACATTGCCTCCATGGAGAGAAAAGATGCCACTTCCTACCACACCACAGTGAGAACACAAACACATCATGAACACCACACCTATCAGCTCAACAGCAAATACCATCACAGCTACCACGGGAAAAACAAGCACGAACCCATCGCCTCTAAAGAGGGTCATTACCGCTCCAATGAGGTCTGACTGAGGTCAGGGAAGAGTTATTATTGCACCTTGATAATGGAGTGGATCTGGGAGAGGTCACTGTTAAGGTGACTGCTGTCATACAGTTTCTGCAGCATCACTGGAATCCCATGCCACTGGGCCTGATGGTCCCTCTCCTGAAGTAGGGCCTCAGACATCTGAGGACAAGGAGGGAACACCATAGGAACAAGAACTTGTCAAGGATAGGGAAAATGCAGTACATAAATCAGCTATCCCCCTCTGAGTGTATATTAGACAGACAAGATATACACACACGCGTCATTGCCCTGATTTGAGGGGCTACACCAGTTGATGTTAAAATATGATAGCTGTAGCCACCTAACGTTAGCTAGCTAGATCGCGATTTATAAAAAAAAAATTGGGGGGGGGTTGCTGTGATAACTTTTCCATAGTGATCAGCAAGGAAGCTAGCGGACTTAAACTCCACGGTGAAGGAAGTTTATTTTACTTCATTCACCATTGAGTGGAGTTTAGTCCGCTACAATGAAGCCATCCAACTTAGTTAAGTAGCTAACGTAGTAGCTAGCATATTAACTAGTTAGCTAGCTAATAAAATGACTACCTACATACAATTCCACTACTTTAGCTAGCCGTTTGCTAGCTACGCTAGCTAGGCACAGCGTTCCGTTTAAATAGACGTAGCTAGCTATATCAACCTAGCTAGCTAACGTCAGCAAGCAAGCTAGCTGGCTTTCTCCGTCACAAACCCTCGTAATTTCGGCTTTTACCAAGGATTTCTAAATGTGTATTTTACCTCTGAGCTTCGACAAATTCCCCAGCCATTGATTTGACCATGTCTGATCCTTGTAAGTATGTTTCTATTACTATTTCTTCGGGTCCGAGGGGGCTCGAGTCCCTCTGTTGTCGCCATACTTCTTCCTCTTTAGCTTCTCTAAACAGGAAGTTATGGACCGTCTACGGCGGAGTTCGCGCATGCCACCTAATGGTGTGCTATAGCAACTACAACTGTCGAACAAGAAATTGTCATTTTATGGTAGGTGGAATAAGTTGAGACTTTTAAATTGTTCGAGTCTAGTGTCGAAAAATGGAGGCCACTAAAGTAGTACAAGTACTAGTGACTTTATTATTTGTTGTAGTGGAATAGTTACAGTAGAAGTAAATAGTGAATGCAGCGGTAGTGAAATAGCCAAGTGACTGTAGCCCAGTGGTAGTATAGCTAGTATTATTAGTAGTAGCAGCAGTACATTGCAATAGTTATTGTTATAGATAGGTACACCTATAGTGAGGTAATCATTTGGGTTAGCTTATGAAGTGTGGGTAGTGAGTGTGGGGTTGTTATAGTAGGATAGTTTAGTGAGCTGTGTGGCATAATCAGACTAACATGGCCTAAACTCAACAAGGCCATGCGTGCGAGGCGTGCATGCGATTTATTTTAGAACGCATTGAATGTTTTGAATGATAATGACACACGGAAGCAGGGCGGGTGGGCAGTGAACGCTCTGTCACATTTTTGCGTTTTATCACTGGCGAGGTAGTCACATAAAACAATTAAAATGTTGTCCTTATGTTAGTTTTTTTCAAGCACAGAGGTGTAGTTGCCGATGTTGAAAGAGAGGGAGGTGAACATTTTATTTCAAGGTAAGCTGTTGAAAAGTTACTTTTTGAGGGTGCACAAAAGGTGCATTTATTTATTATTCCCCAAGTTGCTAGCAACACTAGCTTGCTACTGAGGGTATTAGCTATGCAGATGCTAAACATAACTGACAGGGATTCATTCATTTGAAATACCAGAGATCTATAAAATATTGGTAGCTACCGAGCCACTCCCAGCAAGCTAGAATCGCAACAATGTTCACGCTGTCTGTTTGTTTCACTGCACTGTCCATCCCGTCTTCTCAGCCCGCCTCGCTCCGCCCACTTCTGGTGAGTTTTGCACTTTAGCTGTTTTAGTAATCACATCAACTACTCTCATTAAGCTAACTTCCCACAGTTTAATTAACAACCATTTAACCAGAAATGTCAAATTATTGCACTGGGGGAGCACATTCTAATTATGGACTTGCTTCAGCAATAACCACATGTAGCTACAGTATTTGACATACTTCTGATTTAGTAAATGAACATGTTTCGCTCCCCAACTTGTAGTATATTTAAGCAATAAGGCCCGAGGAGGTGTGGTATATGGTCAATATACCACAGCTAAGGGGCTGTTCTTATGCACGAAAACTGCAATTTTCTAGCCCAAACCACCAGAGCTACCTTCTCCCCTTTCTACCGCGAATTGGCACATATTTTATATTTATAAACCATGGACGTTTTAAACTACTTGAGGGCTACTCAAACGACCTTGTTTAGTCATGTTACCTGGCTAGCTAGCTAATAACAAGGTACACCGGCTTAGGACTGCACAATTAAGCGTCCAGCACCAGGGCGTTGTCCAGCCAGGTGTACCAGTCCTGAAGCTCCAGTAACAGGCTGGATGCCCCCGAGGCCTCAGACACCTTCCTGGTAGCCAGTTTACACAGCCGCTCAATGAAGCTCGGGATGCTCAGCAGGGCCACTGATGCACACAGGGGTTAAAGCAAAAATAAATCCCATGCATGACTACAACTTAAGTCCATCTCAGCTCGCGTGCCACATTGGGATTTCCAAATTCAATTATGACTGATTTGTTTGTCAAAATCAATTTGCGGGACAAAAAAAGGGCAATTATTGGACTATATCTGTCCATTATCATTTCTACATACTTCCTATCTAGTTTTAGATGTTCAAGTGTGGCCTGGAGTGTTTCTTTAACCCAAAATAATCATTTTTATTTCCCCCCAAAGAATGGTTTAGGCAATAACCACATGTAGCTACAGTATTTGACATACTTCTGATTTATTAAATGAACATGTTTCGCTCCCCAACTTGTAGTATATTTAAGCAATAAGGCCCGAAGAGGTGTGGTATATGGTCAATATACCACGGCTAAGGGGCTGTTCTAAAGCACGACGCAACGCGGAGTGCCTGGACACAGCCCTTAGCCGTGGTATATTGGCCATATATCACAAACCCCAGAGGTGCCTTATTGCTATTATAAACTGGTTACCAACATAATTAGAGCAGTACAAATCAATGTTTTGTCATACCCATGGTATACAGTCTAATATACCATGGCTGTCAGCCAATCAGCATTCAGGGCTCGAACCACCCAGTGTATAAAATATATTATATAAGGTAACTGAACAAAAGTTATTTCAAACACTGAAGTATTTTTTGTGTGTAAACCCATGTGTTACCTACCCACAGTAGTGGGAGACTTAGCGAGCGTATCAATATTAGTAGGCTAGCTACATTTAAAATAGTTTTAGTCATATAGCACACGCTCTTATCCAGAGGACTTACAGTTGAGCGCATACATTTTTCAACCCCGTACTGGTCCCCCGTGGGATTCGAACCCACAACACTGGCATTGTAAGCGCCATGCGCTACCAACTGAGCCATTCGGGACTAATCGGTTTCATAACAATATCCAACATGCTGACCCTCAACATGGGGGCCCCTCAGGGGTGCGTGCCTAGTCCCCTCCTGTATTCCCTGTTCAACCACGACTGTGTGGCCGCGCACGACTCCAACACCATCATTAAGTTTGCCAACGACATGACAGTGGTAGGCCTGATCACTGACGACAATGAGACTGCCTATAGGGAGGAGGTCAGAGACCTGGCAGTGTGGTGCCAGGACAACAACCTCTCCCTCAACGTCAGCAAGACAAAGGAGCTGATTGTGGACTATAGGAAACGGAGTGCCCAGCACACCCCCATTCACATTGACAGGGCTGTAGTGGAGTGGGTCGAGAGCTTCAAGTTCCTTGGTGTCCACATCACTAAGGTCTTATCATGGTCCAAACACACCAACACAGTCATGAATAGGGCACAACAACGCCTCTTCCTCCTCAGGAGGCTGAAAATATTTGTCATGCATCCTCAGATCCTCAAAAAGTTATACAGCTGCACCATTGAGAGCATCTTGACTGGCTGCATCACCACTTGGTATGGCAACTGCTTGGCATAAGACCGCAAGCCGCTAGAAAGGATAGTGCGTGCGGGCCGAGCTCCCTGCCATCTAGGACCTCTATACCAGGCGGTGATAGAGGAAGGCCCTAAAATGTTTCAAAGACTCCAGCCACCCAAGTCAGGGACTGTTCTATCTGCTACCGCACAACAAGTGGTGCCGGAGCACCAAGTCTAGGTCCTAAAGGCTCCTTAACAGCTTCTACCCCCAAGCCATAAGACTGCTGAACAGTTAATAAAATGGCTACCCAGACTATTTACATTGACCCCCTTATTTTTGCACTGACTCTCTTGCACTGGCTCTATGAAGACTCACTGGACTCTACCCACAACCTCACACATACTACACTAACACTCCAACACACACACGCTAAGTATACAAAACATGAAGAACTCTTTCCATGACGTAGACTGATCCAGGTGAAAGCAATGATCCCTTATTGATGTCACTTGTTAAATCCACTTCAATCAGTGTAGATGAAGGGGAGGAGACAGGTTCAAGAAGGATTTTTAAGCCTTGAGACAATTAAGATATGGATTGTGTGCCAATCAGAGGGTGAGTGGGCAAGACAAAATATTTAAGTGCCTTTTGAACGTGTTGTGGTAGTAGGTGCAAGGCGCACTGCTTTGTGTCAAGAACTACAACGCTGCTGGGTTTTTCACGCACAACCGTTTCCCATGTGTATCAAAAATGGTCCACCACCCAAAGGACATCCAGCCAACTTGACATAAGTGGGGAAGCATTGGAGTCAACATGGGCCAGCATCCCTCTGGAATGCTTTTGACATCTTGTAGAATCTATGCCTCGGTACCGGTACTCCTTGTATTTAGCCTTGTTATTGCTATTTTATTGTGTTACTATTTCCTTTTTTTATTTAGCTTATTTTTCTTACTTTTAAATTCTGCATTGTAGGGAAAGGGCTCGTAAGCATTTCACGGTAAAGTCTACACCTGTTTTATTCGGCGCATGTGACAAATAAAATTGTATTGATTGTTGGAATGAATATCATTCATTTATAAGTCCAAAAATGGATGTAGCAACTGCAGATTGTAGTGGTGTTTTTTTGTTGTTGAATTATTTCAACATAAAAAAAATTAACTGCTAATTTGCTACGTGAGGCCTATTTGATAGAATATAAATGTTGTAATGCTTAGGTTATTTCAAATGTACTGTTATAAGTGATAGTGGAACTCTGCTAAATGGCATATTATATTATTATTATTATTATTATAGTGGAACTTGTAATGTGTATGCTTAAAGACGTCCTCCAGCGATTTTTGAACTTTTACTGTTGAAAAGCAATATCCGAAGTATAAATCCAGTAAAGTGCACACACTAAAGGGTAAAAATGTTTGTTTTGAGCAAAATAGTGTTTTTTAGACACAACTGCAAACTTCAAGGAGTAGGTCATTCAAGGAGTTGGTGTGGTGGGAATCCGTGATGTCATCGGCATCCCCCTTGCTTGAGGAACAATAGATACACATGGAGAGGTGTGGCTTAATGTGACCACGCCCCACGAGTAGGGTACAGCCTTAGGGTACTCCCGTTACTCCCATGTAATTAGCCTAACTTTGGCATCATCCTAAGCAAACTACTGACACTTTTTTGTCATTTCAATAAATGTTTTCAGCAGCCTTGCGTGTCGTTATTAACATACTTGACTGTCACAACAACAAATTATTTGCATGATACTTATTCTGCCATTTGTTACCCAACCTGCTAACACTGACAGTAAAGCTAAGAAAGCTGCCTCATTATACTGACCTGCTAACACTGACAGTAAAGCTGCCTCATTATACTGACCTGCTAACACTGACAGTAAAGCTGTCTCATTATACTGACCTGCTAACACTG